CAGCACATATGATATCTTCTTACCAAACATGCAGCAACACATTTGAGTCTTCTTACCAAACATGCAGCGACATATGATATCTTCTTACCAAACATACAGCGACATATGATATCTTCTTACCAAACATGCAGCAAGTCTTCTTACCAAACATATGATATCTTCTTACCAAACATACAGCAACACATTTGAGTCTTCTTACCAAACATACAGCGACATATGATATCTTCTTACCAAACATACAGCAACATATGATATCTTCTTACCAAACATACAGACACATTTGAGTCTTCTTACCAAACATGTAGCGACATATGATATCTTCTACCAAACATGCAGCAACATAATATCTTCTTACCAAACATACAGCAACACATTTAGTCTTCTTACCAAACATGCAGTGACATATGATATCTTCTTACCAAACATGCAGCGACATATGATATCTTCTTACCAAACATGCAGACATATAATATCTTCTTACCAAACAAGTGACATATGATATCTTCTTACCAAACATGCAGCGACATATGATATCTTCTTACCAAACATGAGACAGCACATTTGAGTCTTCTTACCAAACATGTAGCAACATATGATATCTTCTTACCAAACATGTAGCGACATATGATATCTTCTTACCAAACATGACACAGCACATTTGAGTCTTCTTACCAAACATGTAGCAACATATGATATCTTCTTACCAAACATGTAGCGACATATGATATCTTCTTACCAAACATGCAGCGACATATAATATCTTCTTACCAAACATGCAGTGACATATAATATCTTCTTACCAAACATGCAGTGACATATAATATCTTCTTACCAAACATGCAGTGACATATAATATCTTCTTACCAAACATGCATCGACACATTTGAGTCTTTTTAACAAACATACTGCGACATATATAACATTTCTTACCAAACATGCAGCGACATATGATGTCTTCTTACCAAACATACTGCGACATATGATGTCATTTCTTACCAAACATGCAGTGACATATAATATCTTCTTACCAAACATGCATCGACACATTTGAGTCTTTTCTTACCAAACATACTGCGACATATATAACATTTCTTACCAAACATACTGCGACATATATAACATTTCTTACCAAACATGCAGCGACATGTAGAACATTTTTTACGAAACATACATCCTCGTATGGGAGCATTTTCACTAAACATGCAGTAACACATTTGAATCTTTTTACCAAACATGCCGCGACATATAGAACAGTTCCTAGCCTAGTGGTTGAAGCGTTCGCTCGTCACTCCGAAGACCCGGTTCGATGCCCAACATGGGCACAATGTGTGAAGTCCATTTATGGTGCCCCCCCCGCCGTGAGATATTGCGAGAATAATGCTAAAAGCGACGTAATACCATACTTACTTACTCACTCACCCCAAGCATTGGCTGCTAAAGACAAATTCTATAAACGGAATCTTCGCGGGTGTAGAGCCTTGTATTCAACGTCTTTGGGTGAGTCATCGTCAACAACATTAAAACGACAACACAAAAGTACAATGACATGTGTCGTGCATAAAAAAGTTTAACTGGGATATGTTAATTAATGTCTGACATTTCAGAATACCTTTATAACAATACAAGTTTATAATCATGTATGAAAGCGTCTGACCCCGCTAACACACTGTATACACAAGGTTGTATTACCGGGCTAGGTCACGTGATGTACAGAGCGCCTGAAAGATGACACTGTGTGAACTTCAGAGTTATGTTAATGTTGTTATGTGTGCAAGTTCAAGAACACTTACATCACTCACTACGTTTCACGTGACACTGGTTGCATAACTGGTAGACGAGGACACGTTCCCATTTGAGAAATCGATGTAAATTTCAACACAACCGTGTGCAGGAACGGGAGCACGAGTGAGTGAGTGAGTGAGTGAGTGAGTGAGTGAGTGGGTGGGTGGGTGGGTGGTGAGTGAGTGGAGTGAGTGGAGTGAGTGAGTGAGTGAGTGAGTGAGTGAGTGAGTGAGTGAGTGAGTGAGTGAGTGAGTGAGGGAGGGAGGGAGGGAGGGACGGAGTGAGTGAGTGAGTGAGTGATACGTCGCACTCAGCAATATTCCAGCCGCTTTTTGCAATATTCAATCACGGCGGGGGACACCAGAAATGGGCGCAGAACACAAATATATGTTTGATGATGTTTGCACATAGTATTTCACACACGCCAGATATGTAAAAAGCCTGTCTCCATTAGTTTGTTTAGATAGTCGGGACATACTGAGGGTGGGTGGCGGCATTCCTTCAATGTTTAGGCCCAAACATTTTTTTTTTTTTTTTTTTAGTTCGACTGAGAATATAACAACGAGGTATGTCAGGCAGTGTAATGCATTTAAATTATGACGATCATTGAACACGATCTGTAAACAGTGGATGGAACAGCCCAGCAGTGAAATCGGTGTGAACGGAGGAGTGAGTGAGTGAGTATGGTTTTACGCGCTTTTAGCAATATTCCAGCAATATCACGGCGGGGGACGCCAGGAATGGGCTTCAGTGGACGGAGGACAGACTGACGGAGTTTGGTTTTACGCCGCTTTTAGCAATATTCCAGCAACATCACGGCGGGGGACACCAGAAATGGGCTTTACACATTGTACCCATGTGGGGATTCGAACCCGGGTCTTCGGCGTGACGAGCCAACGCTTTAACCACTAGGCTACCCCACCACCCAGTGAACGGAGGGAGATACGGAGTAGGGATATAATAATATTTTGCTTGAAACAAAACTTTGCGCACAGAATTAAGAGCGAGACCAACGCTTAGTCTCTGAATATGACATATAAGATAATGCTTTGGGTTTAACGTCGTGCTTCAGAATATTTCGCTCATATGACGACGTGCATGCGTGTATGTGCGGCTGCTTGTACTAGCCCAGACTGAAGCTGGCCTTATAGTGCTAGCACACTGAGATACCACACCGCAGTGTAGCATGAATATCCCACTCAGACACATTATACTGACTCCGAGCCGACCAGTCCTTGCTGTGCCCATAATGCCGAGCGCCAGGCAGGGACCAACAAGTACCATATTTTAACGTCTTTTGGTATGACGCGGTCGGGGATCGAACCCGCGACCTTCCAGCTCTTCTTGTACCGTTGTGAAGCAGGAGCCCTGAAGGAGCCCTGAGATATCAATACATCAATACATCAATACATCAATACATCAAAACATCTAAACCAATACTCACAGTTCAAATACGATCTCCAACTGGCACCTTACATCACAGAACTAAAAAGTAAAGATCTCACACGTGCTCTCTGCAAATTTCGGATTGCCCACAACGATTTTAAAGCCAACATCTTTTGTCATCAGGATGTGCCTACTGAAGAGCTCTACTGTACATCCTGCAATTCCCCACAGATTGAAGACGAAAACCATATTTTCTTTTCTTGTAAACAGTACCAACACTTCCGCGAAAAATATCTCATCCAACTTAGAAATGTATATATGGGCCCACTCTCACTCAATAATATGTTATGCTCTAAACATCCACGTATTATATACATTACTGCTTTATTTATACACCAAATACTCTCTTGTAGATATAAAGCTACAATGTAGTTAATGAGAAAGACCACTGTCCATCTGTACCTTATATTATGTAACTGTATTATGGGCCATTAGGCCGACATTACAAAATAAACTCTGTGTGTCTGTCCTGAGACTTTCTTCACTTTCAGAAGCTGTGGAAATCTAGACTTGCCACATTTTCTAAACTTGCGTGCGCTTCTTGGATATATTTGCTTCAGGGTGTGTATGAGGGTGTGTATGACAGACTGAGAGGCGACTAACGGGATCGGGTGTTCAGGCTCGAGGACTTGGTTGACACATGTCATCGTTTCCCAATTGTCTAGATCGATGTTGATCACTGGATTGTCTGGTCCAGATATGATTATTTTCAGAAAGCCGCTGGAATATTACTGAGTGCTGCCTTACACAACAAACAAACATTTACAGAAGGTAACAAACAATGGCAACTAATCTGATCAACTACCCGAAGCTGACCCCGCCTTGACAGGGAGATTGAGTCTGATGTGTGTGTGTACACATAGTATTATGCTTGAGCAGTCCTTCATCATAATCTTCTTAACATCAGCTTAAATTAGATAAAATATCCAATTGGGTCCATCGGTGACTTTGGATACTATTAACAATGGTTTTAACCTTTCTAGGATCCAGAACAGCTGATACTCGACCTTGACATTCCGTAATCGAGCCCTTGGCGAGTGTTCTTATAAGATTAATTTGAGGGACAATCGTGTTCTGTGTTTGATAACCCGGATTTAGAACATTGTATATAAGAATATCACGATATAGTGGACTGAACGGAGAACCGACGAACCTGAAGGAAACGCTGAGGGGCCTGGCTGTCTTAGTGTTACATCAGACCCGAACGACACTGGGTATTTAGGAGATAATCCTATTGTGTTTACATTGTTCTTGACGTCACAAACTCTGTAGCGTCATTCCAACGCTATCCTAATATTGAAATGACAAAAGCCACATTTTACACATTTCACAGAAAAATATTCTGGGACATAGAATAACTCGAGAAATACGCTCAACATTAAACATTCATCCTTTTGTTCACATTACAACGTCAAATTTACTAGAGCAACCTACAGGAAACGATAACATTTATTGATTTTCAACATCCGATAATGGTGAGATGATCCGAATGTAGTCTGTCTCACAGTCCCTGAACCACATTATTTTCCCCACGGCCTAGCCTTCCCTGCAGTGCTAAAGCCCTAAATGAAGCAAGTCTAGATTTCCTCAGGCTCTGGTCTCCCTGGGGCTCCTTTTCAATTTATAATAGATTTGTTTGTTACTATCAAAATTATATCTATTCAGAAACTAAGCATTAGTCTAATCCGAATGTTCTTATGACGCTTTGTGTGTTCCTTTTGAGGGAAGAGTGGGAATTCACTGATTCAGGGGATGTAACTCTAAATACGCAACCCCTTCAATATGGCGTCCTACACAGGTACTCAGTTCGATCTGAACGTTCATTTAAATTCAGGCACTCGGTTGCAGTATATTTATTACAAACCCAGTTCATATTTTTGCAACTTTGGCGCTTCTACATATAGCAGGTTTGAGAGGAATTGTTTCACTGAAGCGACAGAAAAATATGAATTTAGAGAATGACCACAAAACACGTGGCCCACGTGGTCTGTACAAACTGCATGATAATTTGTATTATTTGAGACGTACATGTCTTGAGGTTCTAGGTGATGACTTACGAAGTCAGTCTTGTGTGACTAAACTTTTGAAAATGGTTTACATGTTATATGTTACAAAACAGAATTGCGTTGAAAAGTATTTTGACTTTTATTTTAAACACAAGCTGTACATACAGGAACATCTTGAAGCAGTGTGAGTGTTGTGTTCAATGATTGTGACGAGAATCCGCTTATCGAGAATATGTGTTTATTTATTTTGAAAAACGGTAATTGCGTGCTTGGATTAAAATGTTGATTCGTGTTATACCATTTCCAAACCCTCTGTATGAGCCTAGCTTTTTTGTGTAGCATACCAGCACTGGGAATTCTTTTTGATTGTAAAACTCTAAATTGTATTCAAAGGCAAGGGGTGTAACTTTGAAATACTGACGGTACCCAAATCCGGATATAATTAATAGGGGCCCAAATGAATACCTTTGCATGTATCATCATACTGTGGGGATTCTGAGTAAAGAGTATGCATCCCAAATAATTTATGCTTGTTGTAAGACTAAGAGGCAACTAAAGCTAAAAGGTCATTGTCAGCACAAGTACTGCTGAAAGGTCGTCGGCACGGGTACTACAGATGTGTACCCCAGGTACGTTTCTGTATACAGAAATGTACCCTGGCCATAATCAGAATACAGAAACGTACCCTAGGACAATTCCATTCTGCATTGTGGAGTTTTCTTGATCGGAACTGTCATACTGTTGTATGAGATGCATTTGATTGCGTTATATAAGAGCATACACAGTATAACGAATATTTCACGGTGCACAACGTACGTACACCACTCGCAATCAACTGAACAGGAATAACTACATACGGTTTCGGTATTGGGTCGCGGAATATGGACTTGTCCGTCGTTTAGGGTACCGGGTACGTTTCTGTAGTTTGACTTTGTTTAGGGTACATGTCTGTATTCAGAAACGTACCTGGGGTACATATCTGTAGTACCTGTGCCGACAACGACCCCTTCAGCACAAGTACTACAGATATGTACCTGCGGTACATTTCTGTATACAGCAACGTACCCTAAACTAAGTCGAAATACATAAACGTACCCAGGGATGAGTCCATATTCTGCAGACCAACACCGAAACTGTATGTAGTTTAAGATAAAATATTTTGGATGTCAACTTCTTCTTTATTGTATACACAACGTTTCTGGGCTATTCCTTGACCTGACGGAGGGGCAAGGAATAGCGGAAAAACGTGTGTACAATAAAGAAAAAGTTGACATCCATAATATTTTGTCCTATACTTGAATACCAACTTCTATAAGCCTCTCAAGAACCTCATCAGACTATGTAGTTGCCCCTGTTCGACTGATTGCAAGTGGAATTGTGTATTCATTATTGCGAATATGCTGGTTTCTTATATAGTGCAATCAGATGCATCTAATGTAATATAACACTAACAGTATGACAGTTCCGATCAAGAAAACGGCACAATGCGAAAATGACTTGTCCTAGGGTACGTTTCTGTATCCTGATTTTGACAAGGGTACATTTCTGTATACAGAATTAGGGGCGGTGGGGTAGCCTAGTGGTTAAAGCGTTGGTTCGTCACACTGAAGACCCGGGTTCGAATCCCCACATGGGTAAAATGTGTGAAGCCCATTTCTGGTTTCCCCGCCGTGATATTGCTGGAATATTGCTAAAAGCGGCGTAAAACCAAACTCAATCAGTCAGTATACAGAATTTGAAACGTACCTGGATCACACACCTGTAGAACCTGTGGCAACGACCCCTTCAGCGTGACTAAATGGATTGGTTGATAAAACTTGGTGACTTGGTTGATTGTGTTACTGTGTGGATGGATGCCTAAGGTGGCAATCACTAGATTGTCTGGTACAGTCAACATCCACAGCCATATACCAGTAGCTAGAATAGAAATGCATGTAAAACAGAAAAGAATATGTGATTTTCAGGTTTGTTCAACAAGATCAAGGACAAGACCTGCAGCCTTGAGGACCGTCTGAAACTGGTTCACTTTGCCTGGTGTTCCAACCTTGTCTACATTCCCAACAAGCATTCTGTCCTCATAGACGTGGTAGCTGGGCTCATCGTCAATAGGAAGAAGTAAGAAACGTGAATTATTTCTGAAGAGTCCTTGATTTATAAAGCCGTGAAGATTCGGGTTAGAATTGATCTTCAGTAACCCATGCTTGTGGTAAGAGGCTACTAACGGGATTGGGTGGTCAGGCTTGTTGACTTGGTTGACACATGTCATCGTATCCCAGTTGCGTAGATAGATGCTCATGATGTTGGTCACTGGATTGTCTGGTCCAGAATCGATTATTTACAGACCGCTGCCATATAGCTGGAATATTGCTGAGTGAAGCGTTAAACAACCACCAACCAACCAACCATGATGACTGAAGCCTTGGCCAAATATATTTAGATACCAGCATCATCTGATCATATATACTAGAAGTTGGCTAAAGGTTAATCTTATCTTTATTCAAACATTTAACGCATGCCATACTGACTGGCAGTGTAGTTAAGGACTATTGTTGTCATTAAACAATAAATCAAGGATCTGGTTACTCCTATGGGGCACCGCCTCCGTGGTGTAGTGGTTAGAGCGTCCGCCCGGAGAGCGGAAGGTCGCGGGTTCGATACCAAAAGACGTTAAAATATGGTACTTGTTGGTCCCTGCCTGGCGCTCGGCATTAATGGGTACAACAAGGACTGGTCGGCTCGGAGTCAGTATAATGTGTCTGAGTGGGGTATTCATGCTTCACTGCGGCATGGTATCTCAGTGGGCTAGCACTATAAAACCAGCTTAAGTCTGGGCTAGTACAAGCAGCCGCACATACACATACACACACATGCACGTCGTCATATGAGTGAAATATTCTCAAGCACGACGCTAAATCCAATTTCACCTCACATACTCCTATGGGTATGCAAATAGTGAGAGAGTGAGTTTTATTTTTATGCTGCTTTTAGCAATATTCCAGCTATATCATGGCAAGGGATACCAGAAATGGGGAATCCAACCCTGGTCTTCGGCGTGATGCGTGAACACTTTAGCCTCTAGGCGATATATTTAAGCCCATCGAATCAGACCCATCAAGATCCGTGTTAGAATTGATCCTCGGCAACCCATGCTTGTCGTAAGAGGCGACTAAAGGGATCGAGTGGTCAGGCTCGCTGACTTGTTTGACACATGTCATCATATCCCAATTGCAAAGATCGATGCTCATGCAGCTGATCACTGGATTGTCTGGTCCAGACTCGATTATTTACAGATCGTCGCCATATAGCTGGAAAATTGTTGAGTGCGGTGTTAATACATGTTTTGTTTGTTTTGGTTGTTGTTTATCTCAACGTATGTCTGGAATATTCATGAATTCTGTGCACGATCAGAAAAGGATGATCAATGTAATATTCTACTGAGATGACATTAACGTATGTGTTCAGGCAATTTGATTAATGTGTTCAGGCAATTTGATTTAAGTCACTCACTCACTCACTCACATATGTATTTTTGCTCCAGGTACCAGATCACAGATGACGATGTTGCATGTGTGTGGCAGTGTCTGTACAGCATCCTCCACAGCCGTGGGTGTTCAGAGGAAGGGGGACACAACATCCTTGTCAAACCCTCGCTGGGACAGGTAAGGAATCCACCAAGGAGATGCTGTGTTGGAATTGGTTGCACATCTCAGATTATAGTCTTTTGTGTGATGGTGTTTGGTTTTGACACTCCTGCAAACATTAAGTTTAGACTCAAGTGAATTCTCGATATTAGTGTATCGTGTTATACTTCGCAGTACTAGTGTAATATTGTCTTATACTTCACAGTATTAGTGCAATACTTCACAGTATTAGTGTAATATTGTCTTATACTTCACAGTATTGGTGTAATACTTCACAGTATTAGTGTAATATTGTCTTATACTTCACAGTATTGGTGTAATACTTCACAGTATTGGTGTAATACCTCACAGTATTAGTGCAATATTTCACAGTATTAGTGCAATATTTCACAGTATTAGTGCAATACTTCACAGTATTAGTGTAATATTGTCTTATACTTCACAGTATTGGTGTAATACTTCACAGTATTTGTGCAGTGCTTCACAGTATTTGTGTAATACATTCGCTGGTCACGCAAAAGACCCAGGTTCGATTCCCCACATGGGCACAATGTGTAAAGCCTACTGTATGTATTAGTATATCACTGAGTAATGCTTCAACCCATCATAGAGAACATGTCCAGTGTCAGTGAACTGATTCAGGCAGTTATTTATCATGTTTTGTATGGCCTTTCTTTGGTTCAGACTCAGATTAGGGGCGGTTGGGTAGTCTAGTGATTAAGCGTTCGCTTGTCACGCTGAAGACCCGGGTTCAATTCCCCACATGGGTACAATGTGTGAAGCCCATTTCTGGTGTCCCCTGCCGTGATATTGCTGGAATATTGCTAAAAGCAGCGTAAAACTAATCTCACGCACTCACTCACTCTGAATTAATTTGAACCTCCCTCCTTCCAGGTAATTGTAGATGCTCTCCAACGCTGTGTGCTACATCCTGGAGACAGGCAGCTGATGAGACACGTTGTGGGCAGCTGTCATGTCGTCATCACCTCCAAGCACCTGTCATACATCCTCACAGCCAAGTATGACACCCTGGTAGGTACCTGGTCTTAGTTGTGGTCGGCGGCATAGCCCAGTTGATAAAGTGTTCATTTATATTGCTGAGGGTTTGGGCTTGATTCCCCTTAGGGGCAGTTTGTGAAACACATTTATGGTGCATCCCACCATGTTAAAGTCACAAAACAATTCTGATATGCTTAATATGTTGCCTAGTAGTTCATCACGTCAAAGATCCGGGTTCGATTCTCCACATAGGCACAATGTGTGAAGCCCTTTTCTGGTGTCCCCCGCCATGATATTGCTGGAAAGTGGCTTAAAACTAAACTGACTCACTCACTCTCTCTAACTTCATCGAATAAAATGAGATGAGGATCCCAATTGTGTAGATTGATGCTCATGCAGTTGATGACTGGATTGTCAGGTCCAGACTCGATTATTTACAGACCGTTGTCCTATAGTTTAATATTGGTGTGTGCCGCATATAGTTTAATATTGGTGTGTGCGGCGTTAAACAACAACCAAACGATCAAACCAATGTGTGCAATGTGTCTGTTTCTTGGCTAGGCCAGCCTCTTGTGCAGTGTGAGCCAACTGTGTGTACTGGAGGACTGTGATGATGTCACCACCCTGTATTCCATCCTGACCCATGTTATACGAGCATATTCCACGGCTCAGGCCGCTCACCACAATCACAGACAGGTGAGTCACCACCCTGTATTCCATCCTGACCCATGTCATACGAGCATATACCACGGCCCAGGCCGCTCACCACAATCACAGACAGGTGAGTCAACTCCCTGTATTCCATCCTGACCCATGTCATACAAGCATATACCATGGCCCAGACCGCTCACCACAATCACAGACAGGTGAGTCAACTCCCTGTATTCCATCCTGACCCATGTCATACGAGCATATACCACGGCCCAGACTGCTCACCACAATCACAGACAGGTGAGTCACCACCCTGTATTCCTTCCTGACCCATGTCATACAAGCATATACCACGGCCCAGACCGCTCACCACAATCACAGACAGGTGAGTCAACTCCCTGTATTCCATCCTGACCCATGTCATACAAGCATATACCATGGCCCAGACCGCTCACCACAATCACAGACAGGTGAGTCAACTCCCTGTATTCCATCCTGACCCATGTCATACAAGCATATACCATGGCCCAGACCGCTCACCACAATCACAGACAGGTGAGTCAACTCCTGTATTCCATCCTGACCCATGTCATCATGAGCATATACCACGGCCCAGACTGCTCACCACAATCACAGACAGGTGAGTCACCACCCTGTATTCCATCCTGACCCATGTCATACAAGCATATACCACAGCCCAGACCGCTCACCACAATCACAGACAGGTGAGTCAACTCCCTGTATTCCATCCTGACCCATGTCATACGAGCATATACCACGGCTCAGGCCGCTCACCACAATCACAGACAGGTGAGTCAACTCCCTGTATTCCATCCTGACCCATGTCATACGAGCATATACCACGGCCCAGACCGCTCACCACAATCACAGACAGGTGAGTCACCACCCTGTATTCCATCCTGACCCATGTAATACGAGCATATACCACGGCCCAGGCCGCTCACCACAATCACAGACAGGTGAGTCAACTCCCTGTATTCCATCCTGACCCATGTAATACGAGCATATACCATGGTCCAGAGTCAGCACCCAGCACAACCACAATCAGGTCAGGTTTCTACCACCACAAAGAGGTCTGTCAACAAAACCACAAACACGTCAGACGACAATGTCCCCACCCCACCCCCCACAATTAGGCAAATCAACACAATCACAAACAGGTTAGTCAACACAACCACAAACACGTCAGACGACAATGTCCCCACCCCACCCCCCACAATTAGGCAAATCAACACAATCACAAACAGGTTAGTCAACACAACCACAAACACGTCAGACGACAATGTCCCCACCCCACCCCCCACAATTAGGCAAATCAACACAATCACAAACAGGTTAGTCAACACAACCACAAACACGTCAGACGACAATGTCCCCACCCCCACAATTAGGCAAATCAACACAATCACAAACAGGTTAGTCAACACAACCACAAACACGTCAGACGACAATGTCCCCACCCCCACAATTAGGCAAATCAACACAATCACAAACAGGTTAGTCAACACAACCACAAACAGCTCCATCAACACCACCACCACCACAAACAGGTCCTTGAAGACTAGAAGATTACTGAAGATTGTGTCATTAAACATTTATTTTTTTATCTCACTTGATGCCCCAAAGCTTGTCAGTGTGCATACTAGTTGTGTAGTATGAATGTAAATGTATGGCAATTGTGTTGATAATATGTACAGTCAAAGCTTAGACTTGTTGCTTTGCTTTACTCAATCGCATTGTTTTGTTTCAATCAAGAAATTTACCATCTACGTTTACTTGGTTCAGGTATCCACAGAGTTAAGTTTACTTGAGTAAATTAAGACAATCCCACATTCTCTCATTGCAGGTGCTGCAGACAACAATTGACAAATTGTTGGTTCCTCTGATGCTGTTTTGCCATCAAGTAACCAGTTGCCGTGGTGATCATGATGCCACCAAACCTCTAAAAGAAGACTTGTACCAGTGCCTGTTTACAGCCCTCTTCAACAGGTATTGGCATTCGTCACCACTCGCCTCTTTTCGTAAGCTCCAAGAAGACTCGTCCCCCTATCGATGCTTGTTATATGCGAAAAAAAGACAAACCAATCAGAACGCGCGTAAATGACTTCAGTGCTTTGGTAAAAATAATCCTGAGTATTTAAATCGTTTATGGGCATTATGTCATTGTTTAAAAAATCATGAAAATATATATCGGCATATTGAAAGTACAAAGAACGTAGCTAACAGGATTTTGCTGCCTATTATGAAGTTTTTGATATTAATCATGCGATTGACGGTGAGAGATTCAAATACACGCACATGGGTTTGTTGACATAACAACTCTCATGGGTCCAACTGAGGGTATTTCTGACGATCTTGCGGGCTTGCTATGGAGATTCTACGTACGCTTCCAACAATGTTACGAAATGTAATTATAAATCGCTACGAGTTTCAAAACAATAATATTAGGCATATATCTGCTTGTAACTAATCAACTTTAATCTTTAACATTGGGCATATATTTCACATCTCTGAGAATATTTTCGTCTGACTTTTGTTTTAGTCATTCATATTTTTTCAAGGAATTTATTTAAAATTCCACTTGGGGTATGACAGCAAGGTTACACGAATGTTCAGTTTCAGAAATATTTTAAAGTCATTTTTGTGTTTCTGCTTTTGGATTTAATGTAGCTTTTATAAATTTTATTTACATATTTAATAAAGAAAATCCCATTGTGATTATCAAACCCTATTTAGAAATATAACTGGAAATATAGGGTGAACATCTGGTAATCATTAGGTCAGAATAAATCTGTAACAAATAAGTTTTTCTCATTCTTTTAGTTGTATCAAAAAGGTTTAATTCTTTAAAAACATAAACAGCAATACAATGTGTGATTACTTCAGTGATATTAAGCGCCATTGGAATCAAACAGGAATAGAGTTATCGTTCCTGTCTTAAGTAGTACTGATGTTCATGCGTCAATATGAAATCCTTACACAGGGGCACGAGTCGCTGTTCGGCTTGTCCCGGTATTGGCTGCATTGTCAGCATTAGCAGTAACGCTAACTCTAGCCGCAGAATGTCTCATTGATACTCACAGTTTGGAATCAAGTGAAAAATATCCTCCTTGACAATGCCAGGACTTGAATACTGGTCAACCACTAGCTGTTGAATATCACTGGGATGATATAAGATGTATCACGCTACTGAATACTATGTGTATGATGCTAGAGAGGTCAGAATACAATGTGTATCATGCTAGAGAGGTAAGGATACAATGTGTATCATGCTAGAGAGGGCCAGATGCAATGTATATCATACTAGAGATGTCAAGATACAATGTGCATCATGCTGGAGGTGTCAGAATACAATGTGTATCATGTTAGAGATGTCTGGATACAAATTGTATCATACTAGAGAGGTCAGAATACAATGTGTATCATACTAAAGAAGTCAGGATATAATGTGTATCATGCTGGAGAGGTCAGGATACAATTTGTATCATGTAACAGTTACCAGTTACCAAGAATTGGCTGCATGTACAAGATCACACTTGTACGTATACAATACTTATACAATAGGACTTGTAATGAGTACAAGTGTCTGTCATCATCTCACTGTCAACATTAATTTCAGCTCTCACAGAGAAATGTATCACAGATATCTGAATGCTGGCAAGGGAGGCGATAAAACAGGCAATGAAGGTTGCAAACCACTAGAAAATCTGTTTGGCACATTGAGAAACCTACTAAATGGCAAGGTAAGGTTTTTTGTTTCACCTGCTGTAAAGACTCAAGTTGGCTTCATACTCCAACATGACAGACAGTCACCATAAAAAATATCAGTCCCAATTTATCATGTATTAGTGTTTCTGTTTGTTTTAAGAAACGTTTGTTAGAAAGTGATGATATAATATGCGAAGGTTTGGCCATATTATGTCTTTCGGGTTAATTTGACCTATTGCGTAGCATGCAAGATACCTGAAAAATTACATCAATGCTTTTGCTTTAACCTTCAGCCAGCACGTTTGGCAGAAAAGACCACATAACTGTTGTTTGTGTATTTCAGACTGGAGACAAGGTCGTGAAAGTGTCATGTGACTGGACGGTGGTTTTGTCCGGCTTCCTGCCTAGGTTCCTGGCAGCCTTCCTTAATGTGTGAGTTGTCCACTCCTGGAGCATGGCAGAGGGGGATCAGTCATGTTCTTGGTCCTAGGGAAAGGGGAATCAGTCAGATCATTGGACCAGGAGAAGGGGATCAGTCAGGTCCCTGGATCTGGGGGAAGGGGAATCAGTCAGGCCTCTTGACCTAGGGGAAGGGGGATCAGTCAGGTCACTGGATCTGGGGGAAGGGGGATCAGTCAGGTCACTGGTCCAGGGGAAGGGGAATCAGTCAGGTCTCTGGACTAGAGCATGGGGGAATCAGTCATGGACCTTGGAGGACTTCAAGCTGTCTAACCCACATGATGATAGACACTTTCTCCTGACTCACACATGGAGCAGAGACTAACTGATCTAATCTGATGGGACACAATGGATGGCTGATTATTTTAAATCTGTCAGATCCCTGGATCTGGGGGAAGGGGAATCAGTCAGGTCACTGGTCCTAGGGGAAGGGGAATCAGTCAGGTCACTGGTCCTAGGGGAAGGGGGATCAGTCAGGTCACTGGTCCTAGGGGAAGGGGAATCAGTCAGGTCACTGGTCCTAGGGGAAGGGGGATCAGTCAGGTCCCTGGGCCAGGGGAAGGGGATCAGTCGGGTCCCTGGACCTAGGGGAAGGGGATCAGTCAGATCCCTGGAACTGGGGAAGGAAGATCAGTCAGATCCCTGGATCTGGGGGAAGGGGAATCAGTCAGGTCACTGGTCCTAGGGGAAGGAAGATCAGTCAGATCCCTGGATCTGGGGGAAGGGGAAGCAGTCAGGTCCTTGGACATAGGGGATGGGGAATCAGTCAGGTCCCTGGACATAGGGGATGGGGAATCAGTCAGGTCCTTGGACATAGGGGAAGGGGAAGCAGTCAGGTCCCTGGACATAGGGGATGGGGAAGCAGTCAGGTCCTTGGACATAGGGGAAGGGGAAGCAGTCAGGTCCCTGGACATAGGGGATGGGGAAGCAGTCAGGTCCCTGGACATAGGGGATGGGGAAGCAGTCAGGTCCCTGGACATAGGGGAAGGGGAAGCAGTCAGGTCCCTGGACATAGGGGATGGGGAAGCAGTCAGGTCCTTGGACATAGGGGAAGGGGAAGCAGTCAGGTCCTTGGACATAGGGGATGGGGAAGCAGTCAGGTCCATGGACCAGGGGAAGGGGAAGCAGTCAGGTCCTTGGACATAGGGGAAGGGGGAATTAGTCAGGTCCCTGGATCTGGGGGAAGGGGGAATCAGCCAGGCTAATGGACCTTGGAGGACTTCAAGCTGTCTAACCCACATGATGATAGACACTTTCTCCTGACTCATACATGGAGTAGAGACTAACTGATCTAATCTGATGGGACACAATGGATGGCTGATTATTTTAAACATGACAGAGTTTGGTTTAGAATACACACACATGTTCCTTGAGTGTTTGATACTTAACATGGTCACCATGTGAAGATCTGGGTTGGAGTTAGTTAGAAACACAAAAGAACCCGAAACCATGGTGATATAGTTGTCCTCATCTTCCAGCCATGACAAGACCCTGTGTCAGAAGATGCTGCAGCATCTCTGCAGTCTGATTGGTTTAGATCCTGACAGTGCTGCCCCCTGTGGGAAGCTGGAGACACTGCTGGTGATGAGGGCTGCCTCCGCCATGTTGAAACAGGTCAAGGATGCTGATGTCTACAACGTTGCCAAGGACAACGAGTCTGGGGGAAGTCAGCTGAAGTTCTACAGGAAGCTGGCCGAGATCCTCCTCGCCATGCCAGTGTAAGTGGGGACAGTTCAGATCCTTCCATGTAGCATTTTGGATTTGCTTGAATCAGGCAGATTTGACCTTGACATTTACAAACACGATCTGCTTATTTGTGATACATGATTACTCAATGGATTAAGTGTCATGCTTTTATAAGTGAGTTGAGCTGTGCACCATTTTGAACAGTTTTACATCATGGCTTGTCTGCTTAGTGTGGGAGGAAAGCCTGGAGTAAAGCAGATAAAGTGAGTGAGTTTAGTTTTACGCTGCACTCAACAATATTCCAGCTACATGGCGGCAGTCTGTAAATAATCGAGTCTGGACCAGACAATCCAGTAATCAACAGCATGAGCTTCGATCTGCGCAATTGGGAAGCGATGACATGTCAACCAAGTCAGCGAGCCTGACCACCCGATCCTGTTAGTCGCCCCTTAAGACAAGCATGGGTTACTGAAGGGTCTTTCTTACCCAGACCTTCACGGGTGCAGATAAAGAGAAATAGTGCTGACAAACCGTGAAACATAGAAACATTGTGTATAGAGCCCAGGTTACGTGGCAGTGTGGTAGATAAAGGTTTTCCACTTTGGTGAAACCCAAAAGCAGGGATATGGTTCTGACAAACCCTGAAACATAGCAAACTGGAATTTGAACCCAGGATCATTGGTGTATGAATTAGAAGACTATCCACTACCCACTAAATGGTGGTGTGTGGTCTTGTGCACAGCGCCCATGTCACAAATCAGTTGAAGTTAAGCGTTAAGTGCTGAGAGTCCTTGGATGGGTGACCGTGTTTTGCAGCTTGACTCCCGAGAGTTTCAAGAAATTTCTGCCTTGCCCCCGTCGTGGCACACATGACACGTGGTCTCACCTAAGGCAGGTGAGTTTGTTCAAAATTGGCTCTTTGCACCCACCAGTATATGGGTACCCAGTGGGATAAATCATATGACTATCAACTAGTGTTGGGAATTGGTTGAAATCTCACAATTGATGATTGGTTCATTAGCAATGAGCAATCATCGAAAAGAATTGGTTAGCGTCATTTTTCAGATGTTCCTATCCAGGTTGTTATTGCAGATAAGTATAACATTGTTCTCTGTTTTGGGGTTTACTTAGAAACTGTGCAAATTGCATTTGCAGACTTCACGTCCAATGAACAATGATGCTACTTTAAAGTGATGAGTGGATACAAGGGAAGTGCGGTGAAATTCATATCTTAAATGCATGATTTCATTTTGTATACGCACTGCTTATTATATTCATTGATTCAGCAAATTGAAAATACCTAATTTTCCACTCGTGAATGAAACGTTTGTTTATCGAAGCCATTTTCAATCATCAACCATTCACGTGTCCACAAAATGTGACGTTACCTTGTTTCGTGGATTACGTAGTCGGTTACTTTACACCACAATGTACGACATCCCACTGCAGTAAGTATCGACACCAAGGAAAGCAGACAACGAGAAGTGAGAAGGTTGGAGCTAACGGTATCTTTATTACTTGAAGTTTTGTAAAAATAAAATTTGGTAATGGTGGCATTAGTGATCTGGTGCTATTTATCTCAGTGCTGGACAATTACATTTAGTGTACTTGCGTGTAATGCAGAGATTGGAACTTTTTCATCAGCGAGTCGTAGCATTGTATGTACATCAAAAGTACCGCTTTGTGACGTCAGTCGAGACTTAATTTACGAGATAGCATGATAATTTCCGCGATCCACAAATCAAGGATATCCACGAATTAGGTTACAGTTCTGTATATATCATGAACTTAAACCTCCAGGAGTCTTCAAGAAATATTCAGTCGAGGAATATTCAGAAAGTGAAGTGAGTTTTCTAAGAAATAAACACATTTTCAGGCCCTGACAACTTCTAAGATATGTTCCATCGTCAAGTGTTTCAGGCACTAAAACAGTAGCTCCATAATTGCTTGTGTTCAATTATGAAAAATGTGATCGATAACTTGGTTGTTTGGTCACTGCGACCAATCTTCGATTATATCAATTAATCAGACCACCACTACTATCAACCTTCTCAATAAGTCATATGACTGCTAGCATAGTGGTTAAAGCGTTCGCTTGTCACACCGAAGACCCGGGTTTGATTCCCCACATGGGCACAATGTGTGAAGCCCATTTCTGGTGTCCCCCCGCAGTGATATTGCTGGAATATTGCTAAAAGCGGCGTAAAAGTAAACTCATTCACTCACTCACTCCCACATGATGATAGACACTTTCTCCTGACTCACACATGGAGTAGAGACTAACTGATCTAATCTGATGGGAACCAATGTATCTTTTCTCTAGTTTTCTCAATTTTACACCAACTTGTCATCACATTTAATCATTATGAATATGCAATGAAAGTCTGATTTAAGAATGTCTTCAACAACTCATTCGATTAGTAAGAGGCAACTGACAGGATCGGGTGGTCAGGCTCGCTGACTTGGTTGACACATGTCATCGTATCCCAATTGTGTAGATCGATGGTCGTTCTGTTGATCACTGGTTTGTCTGACCCAGTCTTGATTATTCACTAGTGTTGGGAATTGGTTAAAACCTCATTATTGATGATTGCTTCATTACAATCGATCAGTCATCGAAAATAATTGGTTAGCGTCATTTACGTAAAAAAAATGTTGCTGTTGTTTTTTGTTAATGACAAAACATGCAGTTCTTTGGGGGGTTTTTTGTGGTAAATTTCACATCTTAAAAGGATTACTACTTAACTAGTATGTTAGGAACATAAAATTCCATGAGTCTTTAAGATAAATTTAATCATGACTTGGAACAAGCTTGTAGTGGTTATGAAATGTAACTTACAAAACCAACCTTGTGAAAAATATTGTTAATGCTAAAAGGGTTCCAGAATTGTTTGTGTTCAATTATGAGAAAACATCGATTGCTTGGTCATTTAGTCACTGCGACCAATCTTCGATTATTTCAATTAATCGGACCACCACTATTATTTAAAAACCATGGCCACAGTCGCTGGAATATTTCTGAGTGTGACGTTAAACAACAAACCAACCAACCATGTCGGAATAGGTCTTCCTGTTACTCTCTCAGTTTGGAAAAGCTGACATAAATGAGTATGTGGTGGTCTGCCTTCCCTGATATCATTTATAACTCCACAATGTTGTATTGAGCTTGAAGATCACTTGCGTTAATCTCAGTGTTCCTTTATATCACAATTTCCCTTCTAGGGAGGATGCATGGTATGAGACGGCCTTGACCTTGCTGCAGATGAATCATGGGATACTTGAGCCAAAGATGTCTCACGTGCTCACACACGGTTGGCTGACAGTTACACAGGTGGGTGACCAATGTGTGTGTGTGTCTGTCTGTCTGTCTGTCTGTGTATTGGTGGTGCGTGTGAACCTTTTTGTGTTTTGTGTTTGTTTATGTCCGGTTTTTTTTGTACCGCACAGGCATCTCGATGTACGCCTCGATTTTTGTTAATGTGATATCTCATGAACCGTTGTACCCAATGTCTTCAAATTTGGTAACAGCCTACATTGGGGGATTATGCAGACACCATTTGATTTGGGTGACCTTGACCTTGTCTTCAAGGTCACCACGACACTTTGACCACTTTGCAAACTTATTTAAACGTGATATTTCATAAAACATTGCACCCAATGTCTTTAATTATGTTGACAGCCTACATTGGGTGATTATGCAGACACCAGGCATTTCAGGCATCTTGTATCTGACTGCCTCCGCGGTGTATTGGTTAGAGCGTCCGCCCGGAGAGCGGAAGGTGGGGTTCTATGCAGACGCCAGTCATTTAAAATATGGTACTTGTTGGTCCCTGCCTGGCGCTCAGCATTAACGGGTACAACAAGGACTGGTCAGCTTGGAGTCAGTATAATGTGTCTGAGTGGGGTATTCATGCTTCACTGTGGCATGGTATCTCAGTGGGCTAGCACTATAAAACCAGCTTAAGTCTGGGCTAGTACAAGCAGCCGCACATACACATACACACGCATGCACGTCGTCATGTGAACGAAATATTCTAAAGTAAAACGTTAAACCCATTTTCACCTCACCTCATCTTGTTTGTGACCAAAAATCAGTGGCCTGGTTTTGAAGTAGCGTCGCGTCGCGTCGCGCATGCGTGCGCGTATGCGTCGTGCGTGCGTGCGTGCGTGCGTGCGCGCGTGCGCGCGTGCGTGCGTGCGCCATATACCTGGAATATTGCTCAGTGTGGCATTAAGGAACACACCAAATAACATTACTGTGGAATCATGCTTGTCATGACAGGATCAGGTAGTCTGACTTGGTTGACACTTAAAGCCGCCTAGCCCACATGATGATAGACACTTTCTCCTGACTCACACATGGAGTAGAGATTAACTGATCTAATCTGATGGACACAGTGGATGGTGGACTATTCTAAGCATGAGAAAGTTTGGAAGACACACATGTTTATGGAGCATTTCATAATTAACATGATCACCATGTGAAGATCTGGATTAGAATTGGTCTTCAGCAATCCATGCTTGTCATAAATCCGACTGACGGATCGGGTGGTCAGACTCGACGACTTGATTGCTGCATGTCATGGTATCATGATCAATGCTCATGATGTTGATCACTGGATTGTCTCATCCAGACTCAATTATTAACTGCCTGCCATATAGCTGGAATATTGTTAAAGAACAAGCAAACTAACGAACTAACAGAATGGGGCCAGTGTCAAGGCCAGAGCTGTTGTTGAATCTGTTTATCCTCCTTGACAGACATCCAGCAGCTCCCAGTTGAGTAACTTCCTGTGCGAGCTGTTCAACACGTACTTCAAACTGAGGCAGATGCCCAAGCTCGTCACATACATAACATCTGCCATATTTGACAGCAACAACTACCTCAGCAGCCTCGTCTGCCCAAGAGTCTTCACCGATAGGCAAGTATGGCATTGTACAGATGCTGTGTAATGTATGACATAGGTGCAGCATATAGCAGTATGAAGCTGTCAGTGATACCTCAGTGAACTCACGGTAAACTCTAGGATATATTACTCCTGTGTTGTGTTTTTTTCAAAGTAATTTCAGATTTGAAAAGACTGTGATAGCATATAGGAGAATGGTGTAACAGTCTAGTGAAAACAGGGTCCCGATCCACAAAGCGTTCGTAACGTTACGACCTGTCGTAACTCTATAGTTTATCATAGGCTTACGAAAGTCGTAGCGCTACAAACGCTTTGTGGATCGGGACCCAGGACTCCAACTTCAAAGTTGAGAGACTGCCCTCTGTCCTTTCCTTGAGCAACTTCAGAGCTAAGAGCGGCAGTAGGGTAGCCTAGTGGTTACAATGTTTACTCGTCACGCCGAAAACGCGGGTTCGATTCCCCACACTGGCACAATGTGTGAAGCCCATTTCTGGTGTCCCCCGCTGTAATATTGCTGGAATATTGCTAAAAGCGGTGTAAAACTAAACACACTCAGAGCTAAGAGAATGCCTTCTGTCCTGCATTTTAATAAACCTTTGTAGAGCTGTGAAGATGTGTGGTTCAGAGTGTCAGGCGCGTAGCAAGCCAATTTTTTTGTGTAAGCCCTATAGGTTACAAAGCTTCATATTTAGATAGTATTGAGGGCTTGCCCAGCCTTTTTAGTAACAATCATGTGTAGGCCCGGGCTTTTTTTTATTATGGTAGCTACGCCCCTGAGTGTCAGTCAGCATAAGGAAGCAACACTGTGTTACAAAATGTTTCAAGATTTTAAAATATACCCAAAATATACATTTTTTATGATTTGAAATAATCAGGTGTGATCTTCCCAGGTGATGATAGACACTTTCTCCTGACTCACACATGGAGTAGAGACTAACTGATCTAATCTGATGGGATTTCTACCTGGAAGTTACTGTTTATAGACATCAAATATTGACAGGGCATGTGGAGGCCTCTACCCGAAAACAAATGCAGTGATTTTGAATTTGATGCTTCAACACACCTCAAAATCAGTCATGCTGAAAAACACTCTAATTTTAAGAAGCACCAGATCTTCACTAAAATGATCTCTGTAGCAGGTTTAATCAAGAACCAGTCAATGGTTTAGCTCTGCTCTACTACCCTCTGTTCAGTATAAGTGTAACTTGTCACATTTCTTGCAATAGTACTAACTCCCACATCACCTTTAAAAGGCACCAGGTCGCCACTGAAATGATCTGTTTTGCAGTTTCATCTTGAAGTATTTGAAGGTTTGTGCTCTGCTCTTTTTTAAACAGGGGAGTATAAAGTAATTATTTTAAGAAACCTACTTCATTACTGTTTTTTATTCAACTGTAGGTATCCCAAAGTAGTTATACAACCAGCCAGACTGTTTGCAGATAGCACCAGATTGCACAAGGGATTCTTAACATTTGTATAACAATACATGTGATAATACCCGTATCACACTGTGGTGTGTCCTGCAGGTTCCATGAAGTTGTGCAGGGGCTGCCACAGACCACCGCGGTCGACATCTGGGGGAAGCTGGTCGGAGAGATGAAGACACGCTACATCGAGCCTCTCATGGAGAAGTCAGAAGGTGAAGGTCGCTTGATACACTACTCTTTCCTGTAGTGAAATATTGCATCATTATCATTGATGCTAGGTCTGCTGTCATAAATACCTGGACTCATTTGCTTGTTTTGATTATGATGGCGCATCTCTTTATCGGTTGTTGACATCTTCGCTCAGAAATTTTGTCAGTGTGGAATGAATTTGTTTGAACAGATGTATTCTTATTTTCACTCATTTTTTATCCATGTTTTTATAAAAATCTATTAGAAACATCTGTGTCTCCCCCCAAATATACAGCAAAGGAAAGAATTAAAAAATCAATGATACCTTCGAGGGGTCTGGATACTTGAAGCCCCCAAAACTACCTGTCTCCCAGATGATGTGAACTCGATTCCCTGACTCCACAGTGGAGGATCTGATCTAATGAGGCTGATGGGAGCCATGGACAGGAATGGCATGGTCGGTGCTCACAGTATCGACCACTAGTTTGGCGCTGCTTGAAGGTCTAGACGTCCTTGTCGCATCCTTTAACCCGAATGATACATATTTAAGGGAAGTGGGGCAGAGATAGATTTTAGAAAAATACAGGACTCTAATATGATTGGGTTTTATTTGGTCCTGTCAGAGCTGGGGTTGCCAGGCAACCGTTTCACTCTTGCGTTCATTAAAGTAGGTTATGTTAACGTTCTGCTATTTCAGTCAGATGTGGATTTGCTGGAGAAACATCCTCTGTTGTGTTCTTTGACTTGACTTGTGTTAACTGTGTGCTGTTTTCATCAGATGTGGGGTTGTCCAGCAAGTTGCGGTGTGTGGCTACAGTACTGAGGCTGTACCTGGGGGGTGTCAAGATGGCCGACTACACCATCACGGAGGCGACTGCCCGGACTGCCCACCAGCTGATGTCCCAGATGGAGAGTGAAGTCCTCCAGCCTCTCTATGGCCTGGTCACTCAACAGGTACGTCTCATCACCTGTGGCACACCAGAGGAAATGCGATAAAATACATGTCATTTACAATCCGTATGCTTGTCGTGAAGGGCGACATTGATAGAGATATCATTTGCATTTTTTAGTTGATTTCTTGTCATTGTAGGGCGGTGGGGTAGCCTAGTGGTTAAAGCATTTGCTCGTCACTGAAGACCCAGGTTCGATTTCCCACATGGGTACAATGTGTGATACCCATTCCTTGTGTCCCTCGCCATGATATTGCTGGAATATTGCTAAAAGTGGCGTAAACCTAAACTCACTCACACACTCACACACTCACTCACTCACTCACTCACTCACTCACTCACTCACTCACTCACTCACTCACTCACTCACACACTCACTCACTCACTCACTCACTCACTCACTCACTCACTCACTCACTCACTCACTCACTCACTCACTCACTCACTCACTCACTCACTCACACTCACTCACACTCACTCACTCACTCACTTGCATCATCGTAACCCAGTTGCATGTGTCAGGGCTCATGATATCAGTCACTGGATTGTCTGATCTTGACATGATTGTTTTCAGAAATTCATTTGCAAAATAACTACTAGTTGTTTTGTCAAGAGTGAGTGAGTTGATTTTTACGCCGCACTTGGCAATATTCCAGCTATGTGGTGGCGGTCTGTAAATAATCGAGTCTGGTCCAGACAATCCAGTGATCAACAGCATGAGCATCGATCTGCGTAATTGGAAACCGATGACATGTGTCAACCAAGCCAGCAAGCCTGTCCATCTGATCCCGTTTTTGTCAAGACTCAGTGATGGAGGATATAGGATATGCTGTAGAAATGATATCTCATAAACCCAAATCACCTTGAATAGGTCCTCAGCACCCCATTGTCTGCTGTACAAAGTGACATCAGTGTATACCTGTGTAATCCCTGATTTAAGTAAAATGATTACTTTGGGGCAAATGAACATGGGTTTTTTTTTTATATTTTAGGGAGAAGAGCTCTTAGATTCAGCTCTCTTCTTGAGCTACACATGGGGAGAGCTGAAGCTGTTGCTAGCTTTGTATGACAAGAAATACAGAGCTGGCCTCACACTCAGCACAGACACAGTTTCCCATCCACATGACCTTGAACTGGTTCATCCCTACCTTACTGCAGAGAGGTGGCAGAAGATACATAAGAAAGTGAAGAAGTCACAGAATAAAGGCCTGCAGTACTTGCTGGTAAGTATTTCATGTTCGTTAATTCTGTGGCCTCGACGTTAATGTTCTGTTACGTACAGACCGCTTTCGTGGTGTAGTGGTTAGAGCGTCTGCCCGGAGAGCGGAAGGTCGCGGGTTCGATCCCCGACCACGTCACACCAAAAGACGTTAAAATATGGAACTTGTTGGTCCCTGCCTGGCGCTCGGCATTAATGGGTACAACAAGGACTGGTCGCCTCGGAGTCAGTATAATGTGTCTGAGTGGGGTATTCATGCTTCACTGCGACATGGTATCTCAGTGGGCTAGCACTATAAAACCAGCTTAAGCACAACGTTAAACCCAATTTCACCTCACCTCACCTGTTACGTACAAGATTCCAGACCAAGTCATCATGCAACGTTTACGTCACACCATTATATCAAGTTGATCCATGATGTTTGGGACACAGGTTGCTCATCTGTCCACACCGGGATGTTTTGCTTGCTGAATTGTTTGAAACCAGTGGTAGTGGGTATAAATCCTGTCATCTCCAAATGGGTTTCACAAATGTGAACATCTTAGATGGTCTTTCCTTCCACGTCAAACTAATGCAGTGATATGACTGAGTGTTCAAAGTGGCTTTAAACCCAACTCTCTCACCCGCCCTTTCACTCACTCACTCACTCACTCTTTCACCTTTTCACTCACTCTTTCACTCTCACTCCAACATGTGAAAGTCTGGGTTAGAATATTGATCTTCAGTAACCCATGCTTGTCGTAAGAGTCGACTATCGGGATCGGGTGGTCAGGCTTGCTGACTTGGTTGACACATGTCATCGTTTCCCAATTGCGCAGATCGATGCTCATGCTGTTGATCACTGGATTGTCTGGTCCAGACTTGATTATTTACAGACCGCCGCCATATAACTGGAATATTACTGAGGACGGCGTAAAACTAAACTCACTCACTCACTCACTCACTATTTCACTCACTCTTTCACCCATTCACTCACTCAATGCCTCTTTTGGGGCTGTGGAGTAGCCTAGTGGTTAAAGCGGGTTCGAGTCCCCACATGGGTACAATGTGTGAAGCCCATTTCTGGTGTCCCCCGCCGTGATATTGCTGGAATATTGCTAAAAGCGGCGTAAAATCAAACTCAGTCAGTCAGTCAGTCAGTCACTGCCTCTTTCACTATTTTACTCATTCACTCACTCACCCTTCCTCTTTCACTCACTCTCCCACTAACTGAACCATGTACGCGCACAGGGTGTATTTCTGCCTCCCAGATGATGTGCTATACCTGATCATGACTTCGCCATGGATATTCTGATCTAATGAGTCTGATGGTTGGCAGTCATACCCTTCACAAACTGTGGACATATCTAGATTGAAGTGTATTTGTGAAAAAAAGATTTCTTGCACACCTGTTGGTGAGAAAACCCATGTGAGAAAACTGGTATCACACATGTGTTAGATCGATTTCCAAAGCTCGTGATTGGTTACTCCATCGTGGTTACCTTGTTTGGTAAGTGGTATCTCACAGACCCTCGGGTAGTAATCTCTTTATACAATTGCCACATGGCAGTGATGACTCTCTAACATTACCTCTACAAGTTGCTGTCCAACTCTCTTGAAATTCTGAACCAAATCTGAGATAAACTTGATTGATGGAAGTTATGATATCACTTTTGAAATCGAATGAAGAAATGAGGAGTGCTTAATATAGCTTGAGTGCCCTTAATTTAGCAGCCTTCACCTGGGTTCCATGCTTGTCGTAAGAGGCAACTAACGGGATCGAGTGGTCAGGCTTGCTGACTTGGTTGACACATGTCATCATATCCCAATTGCTAAGATCGATGCTCATGCTGTTGATCACTGGATTGTCTGGTGCAGACTTGATTATTTACAGACTGCCGCCATATAGCTTGAATATTGCTAAGTGTGGCGTAAAACTAAACTCACTCACTAATATTTCACAAACTTCATACACAAGATCAATGCTAACATAATTACCTCAATCAGTACGCACTAAACCCAAGCTACCTATAAGGCACTGGAAGGTTAACGGTCGTGGGACCATCTCATCCCACCAGGTACCCATTGACTGCTGGGTGAACAGAGGCAATTTTGAACAGTCACTTGCCTAAGGTGCGACCATGTGTGCTTCGTTGTGGGGCAGGACTGAAGTCATAGAACTCTTAGGAGTCAGCTCCAATACATGGTCAACCATCCAAGGACTCTCTGCAACCAACTTTAACAGATTTGTGACTCCCTCAAGTGTAAAGGCAAGGGAGGGGCGGTGGGGTAGCCTAGTGGTTAAAGCGTTGGCTCGTCACGCCGAAGACCCGGGTTCGAATCCCCACATGGGTACACTGTGTGAAGCCCATTTCTGGTGTCCCCCGCCGTGATGTTGCTGGAATATTGCTAAAAGCGGCGTAAAACCAAACTCAATCACTCAGTAAAGACAAGGGAGTGTACTAAGGTGTGATGCAGGTGAAATATTAAATAGTCAATATTTTCTTATATTTAAATGTTTGTTTCCAGGACTTGCTAAGCATCCAGAAGCTGAAGGCTCTCCTACTGTTTTCTACAGAACAAAACACGACTGATGAAAACATACAGATGGCCATCGACAGGATCGTCAACCTCCCAGCAGACGTCACTGATGATCACCGTAGTGCATCGTGGGACGGACAGGTGGGTACTTATTTGGTTGAGCGTTGACGAGTAAATGGTGGACTGATGACCCATGTGATGTTCATATCCTTCATGACTTGACACGTGGGTTGACGAGTACATGGTGGACTGATGACCCATGTGATGTTCATATCCTTCATGACTTGACACGTGGGTTGACGAGTAAATGGTGGACTGATGACCCATGTGATGGTGGACTGATGACCCATGTGATGTTCATATCCTTCATGACTTGACACGTGGGTTGACGAGTAAATGGTGGACTGATGACCCATGTGATGTTCATATCCTTCATGACTTGACACGTGGGTTGACGAGTAAATGGTGGACTGATGACCCATGTGATGTTCATATCCTTCATGACTTGACTTGACGAAAGTACATGGTGGACGTGGATGTTGGCGAGTACATGGTGGACTGATGACCCATGTGATGTTCATATCCTTCATGACTTGACACGTGGGTTGACGAGTACATGGTGGACTGATGACCCATGTGATGTTCATATCCTTCATGACTTGACACGTGGGTTGACGAGTAAATGGTGGACTGATGACCCATGTGATGTTCATATCCTTCATGACTTGACACGTGGGTTGACGAGTAAATGGTGGACTGATGACCCATGTGATGTTCATATCCTTCATGACTTGACACGTGGATGTCTGATCTAATGAGTCTGATGGGTTCATCATCTGCCATGTTCTATGCTATGTCAGCTCTGACGTCTGCCGTGTGGCATCTGTTGTGTCAGTTTTTGCATCTGCCTTGTCTCTTCTGGCGTCTGCTGTGTCGATTCTGGCATCAGCTATGTCGATTCTGGCATCAGATATGTCGATTCTGGCATCAGCTATGTTGATTCTGGCATCTGCCATGTCGATTCTTGCATCTGCCGTGTCAGCTCGGCTCGGGCATCTGCCATGTCAGTTCTTCAAGAGTATCATCAGGATGATAGATTCAACCATATCAAATGATACATTGTGTTAATGTCAGCACCACTGAAGCAGAGAATATATTTCTAAAGCAAAGATGTATCACAGTGAGTACCCCAAAAAAATATATGTCCGTAGCATGAGCTATCAGTAATAATGGGAATATATTTTCTCAGCCGTGTAGTATAAAGGGAGACAACTGTGTGGTGTCAAACTGGCAGATGCTGGTGTCCAACCTTCCAGTTTTGGCTAAGAGCCTGTCAACTCAACACTGTGAGAAGATAGCCAAGTTCATGGTGGGCACAGCTGGAGACCAGGACAAGACAAGGTAATATATATCAATGCTTCTTTAGAGTTGTATCCCTTTGTCATTAGAGTTGTGTCCCTTGGTCATTAGAGTTGTGTCCCTTGGTCATGAGAGTAATGTCCCTTGGTCATTAGAGTTGTGTCCCTTGGTCATTAGAGTTGTCCCTTGGTCATGAGAGTAATGTCCCTTGGTCATTAGAGTTGTGTCCCTTGGTCATTAGAGTTGTCCCTTGGTCATGAGAGTAATGTCCCTTGGTCATTAGAGTTGTGTCCCTTGGTCATTAGAGTTGTGTCCCTTGGTCATGAGAGTAATGTCCCTTGGTCATTAGAGTTGTGTCCCTTGGTCATTAGAGTTGTTTCCCTTGGTCATGGGAGTAATGTCCCTTGCCAGTGAGTAGTATCCCTTGCCAGTGAGAGTAATGTCCCTTGCCAGTGAGTAGTATCCCTTGCCAGTGAGAGTAATGTCCCTTACCAGTGAGAGCAGTATCCCTTGCCAGTGAGAGTAGTGTCCCTTGCCAGTGCGAGTAGTGTCCCTTGCCAGTGAGAGTAATGTCCCTTGCCAGTGAGCATAGCATCTCTTGCCAGTGAGAGTAGTATCCCTTGCCAGTGCGAGTAGTGTCCCTTGCCAGTGCGAGTAGTGTCCCTTGCCAGTGCGAGTAGTGTCCCTTGCTAGTGAGAGTAGTGTCCCTTGCCAGTGAACGTTGCAACCCTTGCCAGTGAGAGTAATGTCCCTTGCCAGTGAGAGTAGTGTCCCTTGCCAGTGAGAGTAGTGTCCCTTGCCAGTGAGCGTAGTATCCCTTGCCAGTGAGAGTAGTGTCCCTTGCCAGTGAGAGTAGTGTCCCTTGCCAGTGAGCGTAGTATCCCTTGCCAGTGAGAGTAGTATCCCTTGCCAGTGAGAGTAATGTCCCTTGCCAGTGAGCATAGCGTCTCTTGCCAGTGAGAGTAGTATCCCTTGCCAGTGCGAGTAGTGTCCCTTGCCAGTGAGATTAGCGTCCCTAGCAGGCTGGAGTAGTGTCCTTAAATGAAAAGTAAGATGTTTTTTACTGATCATTGATGACCCAATAGATGCTGTAAATGGATGGCATTTTGCAACAGTTAGCTGTATGGACCAGCCCAGAATAAACCCTGAATGGCTAACCTGCTATGTTCAGCTACATTTCAAACCACTGTAATTAATGACTAATTAATGTTTCTGTTTCAGCTGCTTGAATTTAGCATCTCTTACGAATAATCTTCTTGTGGCACCAGTTACCATGGAAACCAGGAACTTGCAGTCTTGTATCATGGCATCACTGTGGCCACAACTTGCACCAGGTCCAGGCCCTGGGAAGAGGTGTGTAAAGAAGCATTCTTTGAAAGTAGTTTAAGCATGTCACAGTGTATCAGCTCCATGTATAAAGTAACTCATTGTTGCACTGGGTGCAGACAGTTTACCAATTTAGTCAAACACCTTACCGACCGCTTTAGACAAACGCCTTACCGACCGCTTTAGACAAACACCTTACCGACCGCTTTAGACAAACACCTTACCGACCTCTTTAGACAAACACCTTACCGACTTTTTAGTCCTCCACCTTAAGACTACTTTAGACAAACACCTTACTGACCGCTTTAGACAAACACCTTACCGACCGCTTTAGACAAACACCTTACCGACCTCTTTAGACAAACACCTTACCGACTCTTTAGTCCACCACCTTAAGACTACTTTAGACAAACACCTTACCGACCCCTTTAGACAAACACCTTACCGACCGCTTTAGACAAACACCTTACCGACTCTTTAGTCCACCACCTTAAGACTACTTTAGACAAACACCTTACCGACCCCTTTAGACAAACACCTTACCGACCGCTTTAGACAAACACCTTACCGACCGCTTTAGACAAACACCTTACCGACCGCTTTAGACAAACACCTTACCGACCTCTTTTGTCAAACACCTTACCGACTCTTTAGTCAAACACCTTACCGACTCTTTAGTCCACCCCCTGAGACTACTTTAGTCAAACACCTTACCAACCACTTTAGTGAAACACTTAACTGTCCTCTTTTGTCAAACACCTTAACGACCTCTTTAGTCAAACACCTTACCGACCATGTTAATCAAACACCTTACCGACCTCATTAGTCAAATACCTTACTGACCTCTTCAGTCAAACAGGGGCGGTGGGGCAGCCTAGTGGTTAAAGCGTTCACTCGTCACGCCAAAGACTCGGGTTTGATTCCCCACATGGGTACAATGTGTGAAACCCATTTCTCGTGTCCCCCGCCATGATATTACTGGAATATTGCTAAATGCGGTGTAAAACCATACTCACTCCCTCACTCACTCTTCAGTCAAACACCTTACCGACCACTTTAGTCAAACACCTTACCGACCTCTTAGACAAACGCATTCCTGACCACTTTAGTCAAACACCTTACCGACCTCTTTACTCAACCACCTTTCTGACCTCTTTAGTCGAACACCTTACTGACCACTTTAGTCAAGAACCTTACCGACCTCTTTAGTCAAGAACCTTACTGACCACTTTTGTCAAGCACCTTACCAAAGACTTCAGTTAAACACCATACCAATTTAGTGCATCACCTTACCAACCTCTTTAGGAAACTACTTTGCCACTTTTGTCAAACATATGTCCCAAATTGTTCACTGCTGTGACAATGTTATGCAGTTAATAATTATCCCCCGCCTCGCGTTTAGTGAAGCAGCGGATATAGTATTAGACTCTGTCCGTCCGTACAAATTGGAATAGCTTAAGAACCGTTGACTAGATTCTTTTCATATTTGGTACCAAGCTTCATCACAGTGTGCGAAAGGTCTCAGTCAGGTATTGTGACCTTGACCTTCATTTCAAGGTCACACAGGGACTTTAATTTTTTACTCTTATCAGCGAGATATCTCAAGAAACGTTCACTGAATTTTCTTCATATTTGACACTAAGCTTCATCTAGGGAAGGTGCAGGGCCCAGTCGATTTTGGTGACCATCACACATTCAGGGTCACAGCGACACATTGAATATTTCAGTTTGTTAACCTACATGTTAAGCTTGTCAGCGAGACATCTCACAAATGATTCACTGTATTTTCTTCATATTTGACACAAAGCGTCGTCTTCGGAAGGTGCAGGTTGACTGGTCATGCTTTTGTTGACATTTAACTTCATCCTAAACTACAACCTTCCCTTTCATTACTTTTTAAGTTTGATTTGATAATTTGCAGCAGGTGATTATGTCACTTTAGTGACTGCTTGTTTGAATATGTGATTCACTCAGGTTTTGTGTTCCAGTCCAAAGAAGAAGAGAAAATTATCCCCTGGAGTAACCATGGTGATTGAGGGCCTCTCAGAGCTTGGTGCCATGAATCCTGACGGTCCTCAGAAAACAGACAAGTACGTTTTATGCTGATTCATCATTTTCCCACATGATGATAGACACTTTCTCCTGACTCACACATGGAGCAGAGACTAACTGATCTAATCTGATGGGACATCAACTGTTTCTTCTGTCAATATGTTTGACTGAATTATTCCTTTGTAAAATCAAGTGTCAGAAAAGTTCCGAAGACCTGGGTTCGATTCCCCACATGGTTACAGTGTGTGAAGGCCATTTCTGGTTTTGGTTAAAATGTTTCGTTGTCACACCGAAGACCTGGGTTCAACTCCCCACATGGGTACAGTGTGTGAAGGCCATTTCTGGTGTCCCCGCCGTGATGTTGATTTGATATTGCTGGAATTTTGCTTGAATATTGCTAAAGCAGCGTAAACTCACACACTCACTCACTTACTTTGGGGCGGTGGGGTAGCCTAGTGGTTAAAGCGTTCTCTCGTCACTTCGAAGACTCGGGTTCGATTCCCCACATGGGTACAATGTGTGAAGCCCTTTTCTGGTGTCCCCACCGTGATGTTGCTGGAAAATTGCTAAAAGTGGCGTACTACAATATTCACTTACTCCTTTTGTTCAGTGAATACCTGGCTGAGTTGAAAGGAGTTGCCTCCCTTGTTACAAAGACCTTGTCCACCTCAGAGGAACCTCTGGACCTCCATCCTCGACAGCTGCAGCTCCTGAAGGTGAGCACAACCTTTAGGTTACATCATTCTTGTTGATTTCCACATCATCATCCATCCATAATGTTGATCATGTTTTAACTTGAATACACAGTGTCATTTCGAAAGTGGAAATGTAACACATGTTATATTTGGGAATAATTTCTCAGTAAAGTGAGGTGAGGTGAAATTGGGTTTAAGGTTGTGCTTGAGAATATTTCGCTCATATGACGACGTGCATGCGTGTGTATGTGCGGCTGCTTGTACTAGCCCAGACTGAAGCTGGTTTTATAGTGCTAGCCCACTGTGATACCATGCCGCAGTGAAGCATGAATACCCCACTCAGACACATTATACTGACTCCGAGCCGACCAGTCCTTGTTGTACCCATTAATGCCGAGCGCCAGGCAGGGACCAACAAGTACCATATTTTAACGTCTTTTGGTATGACGCGGTCGGGGATCGAACCCGCGACCTTCCGCTCTCCGGTCGGACGCTCTAACCACAACACCTCGGAGGCGGTCTCTCAGTAAAGTACAGATATTGTTGGGTTGAATCCGTTCGTGATTTGAATCCACACCCTCAGAGTCAGCCGCCTAAACCACTCAACCACCATGCATCCACAAAAACGGAAGTCTGACAAAAGTTTTGAATACACAATGCCATTTAGAAAGTGGTCACATGTTGGGATTACACGGATGTCATATCGTCCTGTACATCACTGTAGGCAAGAATATCAGCCTCATGAACAACATATACAATGTTGTCATACAAAATTGTTTGTTTGATATGAATTCGGACCTAACCAGGATATAAATTCAGGAATGTTTCCTGGCTGAGTGGGTTAGACGGCTGACTTTGTGTGGTGGCGATTAGGTGCCTGACTCTGAGAGTATGGGTTCGAATCCTGGATGGGACTCAATCCGACATAATACTAGAGTCTGTACTTTACTGAGAAAGTAATCCCAAATATGTGTTACATGTTTTACCTTTATTGTCTTTAGCTATCAACAGAACAAACAATGCCCCACATGATGATAGACACTTTCTCCTGACTCACACATGGAGTAGAGACTAACTGATCTAATCTGATGGGAGAGTAGATACGTTTCAAAATAGCTTGTCAGAAGGCACAAAGCACCCTTGCAGATTCCAGTTACAATAGGAGCAGTGGAGTAGCCTAGTGGTTAGAGTGTTTGCTCATCATCCCGAGGACCTGAGTTCGATTCCTACATGGGTACAATGTGTGCAGCCCATCTCTGGTGCCCCTTGCTGTTATGTTGCTGGAATGTTGCTAAAAGCAGAGTAAAACCCAAGTCACTCACTTACTCCAGTTAGGATAGGTCACCTGCAACCAATGCTTGTAGTAAGAGCAACTAAAACGATGATCTGGTCAACCTCATGCCATGAAAGTTTGAAGTCAGCAACCTTTAATTGTGGGTTCAAATCACCATGTACCCTGATTACACATCCATGTTTGTCAACACCATACCCACTGCTTGTGGTTTCATAAAAAGATTCGTCGTAACGGGATCGGGTGTTGACCCTTCAGTAACCCATGCTTGTCGTTAGAGGGGACTAACAGGATCGGGTGGTCAGGCTCGCTGGCTGGGTTGACACATGTCATCGGTTCCCAATTGCGCAGATCGATGCTCATGCTGTTGATCACTGGATTGTCTGGTCCAGACTTGATTATTTACAGACCGCCGCCATATAGCTGGAATATTGCTGAGTGCGGCGTAAAACTAAACTCACTCACTCACTCACTCATAGAAAGATGGTGAATATCTGAGTCCCGCGTCACTTCCCTCGTACTATAACTGGAATACTGTTCATAGCAGCGTTATAACTCGACACAACAACTTACAATATAGAGGTGGCCATGATAGAATATTGTTGAAACTAATAAATCAATAGCTAAAATCAAATCTTAACGTCAAGAACAAGACCTTACCAGACAGTTAATCACTACAATGACTTCGGAGGGGCTGTGTTGTAGCCAAGTAGTTAAAGCGATCGCTCATCATGCAAAAGACCCAGGTTCGATTCCGCACATGGGTACAATGTGTCAAGCCCATTTCTGGTGTCCCCGCCGTGATGTTGCTGGAATATTGCTAAAAGCGGCATAAACCTAAACTCACTCACTCACTCACTCACTCACTCACTCACTCACTCACTCACTCACTCACTCACCTCACTGTGGATATCCTGAACATTGGGATAGTGCACCTCACTCACTCACAGGTGGATCGCTGGTGTATCACAGGTCATCGCTGGATATCCTGGTGAACATTGGGATAGTGCACCTTACAGTGGCGGTGAATCGCTGGATTGTTTTGTTTCAGATCTTGGAGAAGCTGCCTCTAGAGTTCCTGTCTCCGTCGGAGAGGGTGCGCTGTTTCTGTGGTCTGTCGCTGCTGGCATCCTGCACTGCAAACAACTCCACCATCATCCACCTGCTCACCACCCTCCTCGACGGTGTGGGGCCCATGGCGGTGTTCCAGATAGTCAGTGCAGACGTCTTCCTGACGTGGCTGACCACACTGTGTCATGACACCCAGGTGAGTCAGCCATTTTATCTGTGTTCCAGAGAGGTTTTGGTAGAATTCTATGTTCAAGATAGCCTGGACAGTTCTCCTTGTTTCAGATTGTTATCTGAAACTGTGAAATCTGGGTTAGAATTGGTCTTCAGCAACCCATGCATGTCGGGATCAGGTGGTCAGGCTTGCTGCTTGGTTGACACGTCATCGTTTCCCAACTGCGCCGAGTTATACTTATGCTGTTTGTCTGGATTGCCTGGCTTCCCTTAAAAGGCCCTATAATTAGCAGAACTTGTCAAGTTATGATTTTACAGGAAGGAATACAAGATGAAAATAGATTGCAATATGTTAATCTCCATCCATAGCGAAGCTTTCCCAGTGCAGCGATGTAGCTAAGAGTCATTTCCCTCCCATGGCCGGGCCCACGTTTGACAAACCTTGTGTGTATTCAACTACTTGTGTGTTTCATCTGTCTATAGTTTCTTAAAATTGTAGATTTGGCTTCTTTGAGTGGCATTGAAAAGCCCCTAAAAAGGTTTTAATTTTGATGGCTGATAATCTGTTCCAACAATGGTCAAGGGTGTTGCCTGTGTTCCATTAAGTGTGTGGCAGTGTCTTTTTCCAGATAATAAGGGTAGATAGTGTTCTGAATGCAGTCCTCTGTGTTGAACTGACATTTGTGTACAGGTTGATAAGGGAAGATGTCTTTTCCTTATACCTATATAGCCAGGCACACTTCTCATGCTTTTTCTTGGAAGCTCCTTTGATTTGTTGTTCAATGTGTGATATTTCTACTTCTGTTGGTTTTGTTTTCAGTCCACAGATTCTCCTACACAGGTGTTGGTTGACAAGACTTGTCAGGTGATAGTCAGGGATTTCCTCGTCATCACCAAGATGGAGTCGTACATCACGAAGGTGAGGAATGGTTGATGTAATGTAATTCTGTTCCATGTGTTCATCTGATGTCTTCATCCCCCCTGTGTTTATCATCAAGATAACTCTGTGTTATACTGGTACACGACTCCCTATGTTAATCATTAAGATAACTCTAGGTGTTAAGGTACCTCCCTACGTTAATCTTCAAGATAACTCCCTGTGTTAGTCTGTGAACACGATACCTGTGAAGATCTGGGTTAGAACTGATCTTCAGGTACCATGCTTGTCGTGAGAGGCGACTAACGGGATCAGGTGTTCAATCTCACTCACTTTGTTGACACACGTCATCGTATCCCAGTCGTGTGGATGGATGCTCATGATGTTGATCACTGGATTGTCTGGTCCGATTATTTACAGACCCAGTCATGTAGCTGGAATATTGCTGAGTGCGTAGTTAAACAACAGACAAACAAAACAAACTGGTACACGACTCCCCGTGTTAATCTGGAAGTGTTCTGTGACAGCTGTGTGCTGACCTGGAGCTCTGCTGTGGCCACCTCCATCACAAGAAGATCCAAAAGGCCTCCAACCTTGAGAAGTCCAAGTTCACGCTTGCCTCAGCATTTCTCAAACATGTCACTGTGGTAAGTAGTCACATCAACCTATGTCTGATGCCACTGAAATCTGGGAAGGTTGTTTTAATTTAGGACTATATTGGTCATGTTTTACGCTTGTATTATTGTTTATTATTTGTGTAAAAAAAGATGGTCCAGTCCTAATTCCTCCGCCTAAGCATTTGTTTATCTAATGATTTCCATATCTCGAATAGGGGCACCTTATCAGTTCCAGTCTGATTAGCACAGACAGTGATTTCCGTAAAATCACTAATCTGCCTTTTTGAACTCACCCGTCAAAGGCGGAAAGGTGTGAGCCTCGATGGTTTGTTAATTGGATCAGTTTGCTACACCAATCAACTTCTCATTGACTGACTTCGGCTTATGTATACAAGATTGCAGTTGTTTAAATCTAATGGGACCAAATTTCCTTCTCGAGTCATCGTGTGTATTTCTGAGATGAATTAGTATAACCGGAAATCAAATGATGACAACTATAACAGGGAATGGTCGGGACCGACAGGTACTTCGAGTTATGCATAATATTCGAGACACCGGCATTCGACTCATCTGGATTTGACTGTATTTTAAGAAATTCTAGGGAACTGTAATGTCTGCTATGGGCCTCATATTATATCATATATTGGTATTTTGTTGGTTTGCAGAAGTCAAGGGTCTTTTTTTTTTGTCTGTTGATATTTTGGGTTGGTGGTGTATTTGTTGTAGTGCTGAAGGATACATTGGTGTTGTGTTGAGTCTGAAAATATTTGGAGTTAGTTCCTTAGAATACTTGGGCATTGGGTCTTATAATATAAAGTATTTGGGGCAAGAGCATGAGAATATTTGAGGATGATGTGGTTTTGGATTGGGGCCAGATTTGTAGTTTAGTCTCTTTCACAGAAGGGGCGGTGGGGTAGGCTAGTGGTCAAAGCGTTCGCTCGTCACGCCGAGAACCGGGGTTCTATTCCCCACATGGGTACAATGTGTGAAGCCCATTTCTGGTGTCCCCTGCCGTGATTTTGCTGGAATATTGCTAAAAGCGTCGTAAAACCAAGATCACTCACTCACTCTTTCAGAGAATAATACAGACTAGCCTTAATCATGTGGCGCTTTGAAACATTTATCTTTCTATTCTTCAGCAATTACAGAAACAAACACTGCCATCAGCAATCCGCGTCTGCTACAGGGGGATCTTCATCAAGTTGTCGTCTGCCATCAACACCATTATCAGCACCCTCAGGGCTGTGCCAAACAAGAAGACAGTTGTCTCCCCTTCCTCCTATTTGATCAGCTGCTTCAGATTTGTTGTCAACCAATCATGTATGGACTTTGGAAAGGAAGTGAAAAGGAAAGAGAAAGAAGCTGTTGCTATGGAGATCGATGAAGATGCAAAGCCAGATGTCGAAACAGGGAGTCTGGATGAGAGTCTCACTCAAAACATTGAGTTCGTCATAAAGAGAATGACAGATGACATTGGACAAGAGAATGTAAGTAGACAGCTTGAGTATATTAGGTCTTGGATGAATGCAGGCGGGGTGGGGTAGCCAGATGGTTAAGAAGTTTGATTGGCTTTGATTCCCTGCATGGTTGAAGTCCATTTCTGGTATCCCCAGCCGTGATATTGCTGTCATGTTGCTAAAAGGGGCGTAAATGTAAACTCGCTCACACACACTTGTGAAATCTACAGAAATAATCCCCACGATTGCCAGTGTTGAAGTGTGGAGGAGGCAAAGCTCCATTTATATATTGCTGGAATATTGCTAAAAGAGGCGTAAAACCCTGCTCACTCTCTTAGATGAAAACATCATCACATCACGATATGGCTGAAATATTGCCGATGTGACGTTTAATATTAACTCACTCACTCACTCACTCACTCACTCACTCACTCACTCACTTAGATGAAAACAGGAAAAATATTCGAGTACCATAATGCCCTCTATGAATGTGAACCTGAAATAGTGATGCCTCCAACCATGATTTACAGCTCAGTCTTGTGACCTGGATCTATTTGTTTCAGGGCTGTGACATTTCTTCGCTTGAGTTTATCCAGATGGCATGCAACCATCACCAACTCCTCAAGTCAGTCTTGACGTCTGCTGCTGTACACAAACTGTATGAGGTGCTGATGTCGGCTGTCACCAGGTCACATGACCAACATAAACTGATGATGTCATCAAAACCTGTGAAAGGAGTTACACCTGACAAAACAGGGTCTGATGACAGTGGCCAGAAAGCTGACTCATTGTACAGAAGTGTGAAGAATCTACTTGATGGGCATGTACCAACACAGAAAACATCGCTTCACAGTCCTGTCCTGGAAGAGCAAGATGGCTCCAGTCAACCACACAGTTTAATGTCAGCACTCCAGGGTACTCTGGCTGCAGTTATTACTTCCTGTGACCTTGACCTCTTCAAGACCATTTTGGCAAACCTGGTGGACTCTACGGTAAGTGGAATGTCATCAGATGTTTTAAAGCATATTTGTCACCCTGTCAGAATTCGGAGTTAAAATTGGTTCCCACCAGCTACTAATAACAGGTAAGGGGCGGTGGGGTAGCCCAGTGGTTAAAGTGTTCGCTTGTCAGGCCAAAGACCTGTGTTCGATTCCCCACATGTGTACAATGTGTGAAGCCCATGTCTGGTGTCCCCCAACCATGATATTGCTGGAATATTGTTAAAATCGGCATAAACCTAAACTCGCTCACTCACTCACTCACCCACCACTAGTCACCATGTGTTATATGTTTTAACTTTATTGTCTTAAGCTATCAACAGAACAAAACGTGTCCCACATGATGATAGACACTTTCTCCTGACTCATACATGGAGTAGAGACTAACTGATCTAATCTGATGGGAGAGTAGATACGTTTCAACATACACTTAGCTTGTCAGAAGACACTAAGCACCCATGCAGATTTCCAGTTAGAGGTCATCTGCAACCAATTCCATGGTAAAAAACGATCTTGAATATTGCTTAAAGCGGCGCAAAACTAAACTCACTCAATCACTCACTATAACAGATGAAGAAATGGTTTTGGCCTTCAAGTGTGGTGACTGGATCATTGCACCCCATGTCGTGGATCTTTGGTTACAGTGTCGTGGATCAATGGTTACAGTGTCCTTGATAATTGGTCATGGATCATTGGTTACAATATCTTGGATAATTGGTTACAGTGTCGTGGATCATTGGTTACAATATCTTGGATAATTGGTTACAGTGTCGTGGATCATTGGTTACAGTGTCGTGGATCTTTGGTTACAGTGTTGTGGATCATTGGTTACAATATCGTGGATCATTGGTTACAATATCGTGGTGGATCATTGGTTACAATATCGTGGATCATTGGTTAGTGTCGTGAATCTTTGGTTACAGTGTCGTGGATAATTGGTTACAGTGTCATGGATCATTGGTTACAATAACATGGGTCATTGGTTACAATAACATGGATCTTGGTTACAATAACATGGATCATTGGTTACAATATCATGGATCTTGGTTACAATCACTGGATTTAGATTTACAGACTGGAATATTGCAGAGTGCAGGATAAACAAGATTCAATTGATAACCAGTGTGAATGTCGGCTTGCAGATCAGTGCTAATCTGTATGACTCTGTATATCATATAATAGGTTTGCTTCTAAGCTTGATAAAGGCAGTTGATAAAAACAGGTTCTGTTAGGGTCATTTACACAACCAAACATGGCTCTGTTGCCAAACCGTGAAGATCCATCCGGGGTAGAATAGGTCTTCAGCAACCCATGATTGCCACAAAAGGCGACTATGCTTGTCGTAAGAGGCGACTAAAGGGATCGGGTGGTCAGGCTCGCTGACTTGGTTGACACATGTCATCGGTTCCCAATCAATGCTCATGCTGTTGATCACTGGATTGTCTGGTCCAGACTCGATTATTTACAGACCGCCGCCAAGTAGTTGGAATATTGCTGAGTGCGGCGTAAAACTAAACTCACTGACTCACTCTTGTCTGTTGCCAGTCAAGTCACAATGGATCTGGACAAATTACATGAACAATAGTTCATAGTTCAAAAGTCTACCTTAGACTTTTAGATCTTTATTGTCTTTAGAAAACAGATGAGTAATTGCAGATTTTTCTGCAATATATATCTGTGCACTTATACTGGGGAAAAATATGCTTATATACTGTTGGTGAGATATGAAAATACTTCTTTCAGTGATAGAATTTAAGCACGACAATGTATGATGACTCTTGGCAAGGTTCACTAAGCACAATATTTATTGCTAATATAGTGTGTTGCTCTCCTAACACATGCAAGCGTGATAATTTGTGTTTCTGAGATGAAGTTAATCCATTTGTTTCAGTGTCCAAGCCTGTTATGGACCCAGGAAGACAAAATGCTGGCAGCCATGACAGTTTGGGAGAAGCTCCTTGCAGGGCTTTTAACTGAAGAGCAGAGTGTGGAGGTTACAGTGGCTGCTCAACATGTGAGCCTTTCTTGGATACAAACATGTAGATTCTTTTTATAAATAAAACTTAACACACAATTTCAGATTATATGAATGTAAGGTGTAAGTCAAGAACCTTGCTAAATGTGTAAAATGGAAATGATAGACACATTATTGTAGGCACCCTGTTGTTTAGACGATATAATCAACTTATGACATCATAAACAAATGGATTGTATCATGTTTTCTCGACATTGAAGTGTTGTGCGTATTATAGCTTCAGTTGACCAATCAGTCTTAAGGACTGCTAAAATGTAAATTGGCAAAATCAGAAAGTTATGGGTAATATTCTTTAAGTGTTAGAAATAATTTGCATGAAATATCGTTCAGTGATGTTTTTGATCATTATCAGGATTTTCACAGGCTTGAACAAGCCTGACATTTGGACATTTTATCCTAAAAAGGTTGTAAATTTGTTTTAGCCTTGCTAAGGCTCAAATTGCCAGTGATTTACCCTAAAAAGACCCTATATTTAGTAAAACCTGTCAAGTTATGATTTTACAGGAAACACGTGACATAAGTACCTTGCAATGACAGTGGGTGTTAATTAGGGGTGGGTATTGCAGAGAATATTCATATTGCGATATATTGCGATCCGAAAGCATGTATTGCGATATGCATTGCAATATATTGCATGAAGTATTTTTAAACAAAAAACTACTTAAAATCGAGTTACTGCTTGATTTATAGGGCAAAAACACAACCAAATCACTGTGCTTGATTAAGCTTTAATAACAAATTTTAATCATGATAAAATATAAATGTAAAAAATATTTGGCACAAATGAAACAAGGAAATATCCGAAAATTTTCGAGTGTTACGACGTTTTCCGAATGCATGTCAAACTACCGGTTTTAGATCAGCGTATCGCAATACGTATCGTTTTCATGTCTGAACCGGTAAATACCGGTAAACCGGTTATATTGCGCAGCCCTAGTGTTAATTACTCTCCATCACGAACCAAACCTTTCCCAGTACAGCGATGTAGCTAAGAGTTATCTCCCTCTGATGGTCGGTCCCACATTTGACCAGCCTTGTGTGTATTCAACTACTTGTGTGTTATATGTGTGTATAGTTCCTTAAAATTGTTGATTGGGCCTTGAAAAGCCACTCAAAAGGCCTTAAATTTGATGGCTGATAATCTGTATGAATTGTGTTCATGTTGTAGATATTGATGAACTACCAGAGCAGTCTGGAACAGCTCCACTGTCTGCCAGTCGACGCCGCCATCCGCCAGGCTCTGCCGATAGTCCGCTCACAGACAGCCATGTTGAATTATGGATATGTGAGTATACATAAGTCATGTTAATCTGGACAGCCTCATTCTGAATGAAAGTGTCAAATTTAACATATTCTTGAAAAAATAGATAATGATGCTTTGCAGTTTTGTTTAAGATAAATGTTCAAACAGCATAGATCACAAATCAGTTGTAGTTTAGCAATGTTGGTGGTGGAGAGTCCTTGGATGGGTTACCACTTTTGGCAGCTTGACTCCTGAGAGTGTCTATGATTTCAGTCCTGCCCCACAATGAAGCAGATATGTAACACATGTGTTCTCCCCTTAGACAATTGAGTTTGTTCATAAATTGCCTCTGTTCACCCAGTTGTGAATGGGTACCTGGTGGGATGAGATGGTCATAACCTTTTAGCGTCTCACAGGCAGCTTGTGTTGATCCATTGACCAGAGCTATAATGTTAGTGCTTTGATCATACATCGCCGGGAAACATGTGCACAGCTGATTGCTATTTCCAGCTCAGATACACACGGTAATTTTAATCCCTGCAAATAATACAATGCCCAGCAAAAACAACTTATAACTTAAAAGGTAAATAATCTTGTCTAGTGATGTTTAGTTGCAAATTTGACGTATCTACTGACAAAGTCGTCTTCTGTTGTTTGTTCACGCGAAGTGATACGATGTTGTTTTCTTACCCCTGGAAAAAAGTTTGACGAAAGCGTAACCCATGGATAAGACGACCCCCTTCTTCAGACTGCTTTTTTTGGTCCTCAAAATTCGGCTTATAGACGGTAATATACGGTACACCTTGTACTTGTGAAATACATTCAAAATATGTCAATGCATTGACTTTCTCAAAATGTTATCTTAAGGATCAGGTGCTCAGGCTCACTTTTGTTTCAGGTTTGGGGCTTATTTCTTTTTTCAAATATTGGAGATTGTATTTAGTACTGGGTTATACATTCATAGTCGTGTTGATGAAAGTATCTATAACCTGCCTGTCTCCCAGGTGATGTGAACTCACTTCCCTGACTCCACAGTGGAGGATCTGATCTAATGAGGCTGATGGGAGACAGGCATAAGAACTTCTAAACATATTTACTGCCATTGTTTTAAACACCCATTATTGACTACCAGTCTACCACAAACGTATAATGTCATGAACAAAATTTCAAGTAAGTTACGTCTCATTTATGCATGACATGACATGCATTAAACATGACAATACATAGCCATGTGCGCTTGCCGACTGAGAACTGGGGACACGCAGACTTGTGATGTCACAGGCAAAGTCAGTTCCAACCACTCATGACATTGAAACCTGTGAAGGTCTGGGTTAGAATATTGATCTTCAGTTGAGCACAGAACCCATGCTTGTCGTCAGAGGAGCCTAATGGGATCGGGTGGTCAGGCTTGCTGACTTGGTTGACATATGTCATTGGTTTCCAATTGCGCAGATAGAAGCTGATGCTGTTGATCACTAGATTGTCTTGTCTAGCCTTGATTATTTACAGACCGCCGCCAAATAGCTGGAATATTGCGTAAAACTAAACTCACTCACTCACTCATGGCATTGAAAATTCCTTATCTGCATGTTGACAATGAAAACCTTTGAACAAATAGAAATTGTCTTGGTGTAAAGACAATGTATGCAAACAGATATCAAGATTTGAATTATTCAATGAGCTCAATGCCACAGAGTAATAATGCTAATTTTTGCGCCTAGAATCCAACACGATACTGCTCTCTGGTGTTACATTATTACCCTGACTGAATTCTACTTTCAAGGCCGCTACTAAGAGCTTCGAGCGACTGTATAAGTCCGTACATCCGCTTCTCAGGTACTCATTTTGAACAGCTGGGTGGACTGAGTGCAATGTGGACGAAGTGCCTTGCCCAGGGACACAACACAGTATGAGACCCAGGTCACAAATATTGGTGTCTCCACCGGGATTCGAACCCAGGCCTTTGGCGTGAGAGGCCAGCAAGCTAACCACAACACCACTGTGGCGAAAGTGATGTAGGCAAACAGATATCAAGATGTGAATTATTAACCTGCACTATATAAAGACTACAGTCATGGAACCATGAAGAGCAATCCCAACATCGTCATAGCCTAGTGGTTAATGTATTCACTCGTCACAACGAAGACCCGGGTTCGATTCCCCACATGGGTACAATGTGTGGAGCCCATTTCTGGTGTCCCCCGCCGTAACAGCATAAACCATACTCTCGCTCGCTCGCTCAATCACTCTCACTCACTCACTCACTCACTCACTCAATCAGCTAAAATATTCACAGGGAAAGTTATGGGTGCGTCATTAATATTACATAGGGTTCTCGGGTTTAGTATTCAATTCACCTTTCTTGTGTATCAGAATATCCAAAGAATGAAAGAAAAAGATGAATATAAATATTCCAAATGCTGTTCTGATCTTGCACTTTGGGTAACAAGAGTGAAACCATTTTCAAACCAAGAAAAGATTCAGTGGAATATGGTAGGAGGTAATGTTGATGGTTGGTGAAGATATCTACATTTCCTGTCTCCCAGATGATGTGAACTCGCTTCCTTGACTCCACAGTGGAGGATCTGATCTAATGAGGCTGATGGGAGACAGGCATAAGAACTTCTGAACAGCTTTTGTATTATACACCAGACACTCTGTACTGATAAAACCTCTGTCATTAAAACCTTACACCAAACAGAAATTGGCTAGGTCCCAAAACAGCAGCTCTTAAAGTGATGCATGCAAACAAATAGCAAGATATGGATTATTAACGCCCACAGTTTGAAGATACAATGTAACGGACTTGAAAACAGAAGATGCACTCCTAACAGGGTTATGAGCTAAATATACTCAGAGGACAATTAATGGCTTACCTTGTTGGTTTGAAGGTGAGGGGATCATTATTAAATATACGCTTACAAATTATCAATTGCAAGTATAAAATTCTAATAGGAATATTCGCACAGTCGGTAAATGACAAAGAAACATTCCATTCTTGAGAGGCATTTAGAAGTTGGTGAACATATAAGACGAGTATATGGATGACAACTTCTTGCAGTGTAGGAAAGATGTAGAAAATCTAGCCTGTCTACAGGACTGGCTGGTCAAATTTTTTACCAGTCCTGCCAAAATCTAGCCTGTCCTCCAAATATAAATAAAACCTAAAAATATTCAAAAAGGTTATTATCATTATATATATATCATTGGTTTGCTAAAACTGACCTGACATGAGGACGGACTAGATTTATTTTTAACCCGTCCTCCACAAAATTCACCCGTCTCGGACGTTGGGACGGGCTATCTTTCCTACACTGCTTCTTGTATATTGTATAACACAATGTTTCTGGGCTACTTCTGTTTCCCAGAAACGTTGTGTTATACAATAAACAAGAAGGTGTCATCCATATTCTCGTCTTATAAACACATTCCACTTTGTAATTAGAATGAAATGAGGAATTTTCCTTCTAAGGGAACAAACTCCTCCCAAGTGATGTGAACTCACTTCCCTGACTCAACAGTGGAGGATCTGATCTAATGAGGCTGATGGGAGATTGAACACGTTATATTTATTTCTGTTCTTTTCCTTAGTTTTTAATGAAAAATTACTTCCAATCTGGACCAACAGTTTACTGAAGTGAAAACGCTGGCCTTCATACAAGAATGGAAACTCACACGGGAATTTATTGTCATGGTCTTCATACAGTTGTTTGGAGGTTGAGTAGCCTAGTGGTTAAGGCGTTCACTTGTCACACCAAAGATCCGGGTTTCGTTCCCCACTATGGTATGATGCATGAAGCCAATTTCTGGTGTCACCCTGCCGTGATATCGCTGGAATATCGCTAAAAGTGGCGTAAAACCAAACTCACTCACTCACTCACTCACTCATACAGTGTGTGTTTTTTTATGTTCTTTTTATTTACCTCATTCACTCCACATAACAGTATTTTATATAACTATGTTTCTGTTTCTCTACCAACAGACATTGATACCTCGACAGACCTCCGTTCTCTGCCTTCATGGATGTCCAGTCATACCACTAGAGGGCAGCACCTACAGCTCCTATATCCCAGCATGCATTGCTGTACAGGAAGTGTTGGGTGCTCTCATCATACACCACCCTAATGCTGTCCTGTCTGTCATTCCCAGCTACGTCGCCAACATCAGACATATCCTTCACAACATCGTTCACAGACTAACTCAGTTAAGATTTGTAACATGATATTGGGGCGGTGGGGTAGCCTAGTGGTGAAAGTGTTGGCTCGTCACGCCGAAGACCCGGGTTCGAATCCCCGCATGGGTACATTGTGTGAAGCCCATTTCTGGTGTCCCCCGCTGTGATGTTGCTGGAATATTGCTAAAAGCGGCTTAAAACCAAACTCGGTCAGTCAGTCAGTGTAACATGATACATTTGGGTTTACACTATCCCAGTTAACTAGTCAGTCACCCAGTTGCCAGCACACAACGTCAGTGGTGGCAGAGTGGGTAAGATCACTCACTTTGTCAGCAGGTAATTAAGTACCTGACTCTCTGAGTGTGGATTGGAATCTTGGATGTGACTCAAACCAAAAAATGTACTCGAATCTGTACTTACAGACAAAGCGTAATCCCAAATATAACAAGTTACATTTGACCACTTTCTAAATGTCATTGGGGCGGTGGTGTAGCATAGTGGTTAAAGCGTTTGCTTCTCATGCCGAAGACCCGGGTTCGATTCCCCACATTGGCACAATGTGTGAAGCCCATTTCTGGTGTCTTCTTCTGACCACTGCATGTAGCCCACTAAATATGTCGATTCGTGTTGGCTGTTGATGAGTTACGACAGTGGAACAATGAACATGGTTGACAACTCCCAGGTGATGTAAGACTTCATCCTGATTTCAGTGAGGGCCTTGATCTAATGAGTCTGATGGGTGACTGTAGACTATATGACTGTAAACTGTATGACTACTGTAAACTGTATGACTAAACTGACTAAACTGTATGACAGTAAATTGTTTGACTGTAAACTGTTTGACTGTAAACTGTATGACTATAAACTGTTTGACAGTAAACTGTATGACTGTAAACTGTATGACTGTAAACTGTTTGACAGTAAACTGTGTGACTGTAAACTGTTTGACAGTAAACTGTATGACTGTAAACTGTTTGACAGTAAACTGTATGACTGTAAACTGTTTGACAGTAAACTGTATGACTGTAAACTGTTTGACAGTAAACTGTATGACTGTAAACTGTATGACTGTAAACTGTAAACTGTTTGACTGTAAACTGTTTGACTGTAAACTGTATGACTGTAAACTGTTTGACAGTAAACTGTATGACTGTAAACTGTTTGACAGTAAACTGTATGACTGTAAACTGTTTGACAGTAAACTGTATGACTAAACTGTATGACTGTAAACTGTTTGACAGTAAACTGTATGACAGTAAACTGTATGACTGTAAACTGTATGACAATAAACTATGATGGTAAACTGTATGACTAGACTGTATGACATTAATGTGTATGACTGTAGACTGTATGACATTAAACTGTATGATGTTAAACTGTACAATAGACTGTATGACATTAACCTGTAAGACTGTGTAAACTGTATGACAATAGACTGTATGACATTAAACTGTATGACTGAACTGTTTGACTGTAGACATATCAGACATATTCTTCACAACATCGATCACAGACTTTATTGACATGTAACATGATACATTTGGGATAACACTTTCCCAGTAAACTAGTAAACTGTACGACTGGAAACTGTATGATTGTAAACTGTATGACTGAAACTGACAAATAAATATTTACTCCTGTGTCTCGTGAATGACCCGAAGACCCGAGTTTGATTCCCCACATGGGTACATGTGTGAAGCCCATTTCTGGTGCCCTTTGCTGTGATATTGCTGGAATATTGCTAAAAGCAGTGTAAAATCATCATACTCACTCACTCACTCACTCACTCACTTGAATTATGCACAATGTGACGTTATGTTTATCTATCAAGACATTAGTGAAAATGGCTGTCTTTTATCACAGCATGACTGATCTGATCTTACTCGATCAAGACATGGCTGAAATGTTCTTCTATTTATGTCTTTCATCAATGTATGCCTGAACTTATATTTTTTAGGTGTGTCTGTCTGCCTTTGTTGTCGTGTGTCTCTGTCACTCTATGTCTGTATCTCTGCCTGATTGTGTATTTGGTGGTTCATATCACAATGCAGTATTCAGTATTTTGGATCAGTATCAAGTATTACCTTAACCAGTCCACATCTCCTGGTGTCTGTCATCCAACATGGCTGCCAGGACAAGCTGGCTTCAGATCCACAGTACGTGGATGGCATGGTCCACTGTGCCAACCAACTTACCAGGTAAATTATTGGTGTTAGTTCTGTAGATGTGTCATGATCTGAGTGTTGTACTGTAACCATGTATTATACAACAGTGTAGTAAGTGATGATGTAATTATACAACAGTATTGTAAGTGATACCTAATTATACAATAGTTAACTGTTAGTGTTTTTACAGTAAATGTACAACTATGTTACAGAACTGTAACTGTAATTATACAACAGTATTGTAAGTGATAACTACTTATACAACAGTTAACTGTTAGTGTTTTTACAGTAAATGTACAACTATGTTACAGAACTGTAACTGTTACTGTAATTATACAACAGTGTTGTAAGAGATAACTAATTATACAACAGTTAACTGTTAGTGTTTTTACAGCAAATGTACAACTATGTTACAGAACTGTAACTGTAATTATACAACAGTATTGTAAGTGATAACTACTTATACAACAGTTAACTGTTAGTGTTTTTACAGTAAATGTACAACTATGTTACAGAACTGTAACTGTTACTGTAATTATACAACAGTGTTGTAAGAGATAACTAATTATACAACAGTTAACTGTTAGTGTTTTTACAGCAAATGTACAACTATGTTACAGAACTGTAACTGTAATTATACAACAGTGTTGTAAGAGATAACTAATTATACAACAGTTAACTGTTAGTGTTTTTACAGTAAGTGTACAACTATGTTACAGACTACTAAGCCTGCTGCAGCCAGTCAAGGTGGAGTTCAGCAAGGTGGCTGTGTACCTGCTTGCTGACTATACCTGTGAGGTTCAGAACGTCACTCTGCTCCCAGCAGTCAAGGTGAGTCTCGTCAGGATTGACATCTGTAGAAAGGTGCCGCTTCTTGCTGTTTTAACTGAGCTCAGGTTGACACATGTGATCGGTTCCCAATTGAGCATATTGATGCTCATGCTGTTGACACTGTATTGTCTCGTCCAGACTCGATTATTTACAGACTGCCACCATATAGCTGGAATGTTGCTGAGTGCAGCATAAAACTAAACTCACTCACTCACTCACTCACTCACTCACTCACTCACTCACTCACTCACTCACTCACTCACTCACAAGCACTGGTCGGCTCACAATGTCTTGTGAAAATACAGCATGGTTTGTTTGTTGTTAAACGCCTCACTCAGCAATATTCTAGCTATATGGTGGTAAATAATCAAGACTACCAGACAATCAAGTGATCAACAGCATGAGCATCGATCTATGCAATTTTGATGCAATGTGTTACGGTTAATAATTTGCTGTGACAAAAGGTTTAAAAGTCCCCTTTGAACCAGCAAAATAGAACAAAATATTCAATAATATATTGAGCAATCAATGAGCAAACTACAATGAATGACAATACAGATTTCTAGTACGATGCAATTGAGTCACAAATCTAAAATATTGGGTCACAAATATAAAATATTAACTCACCAGAGTCCTGGCATTTACAGTGAGAGCAGATATACTGATTGAAGGTTGTTTACAATGACAGCAGTTGAATAGACAAGCACGATGTTGAGCAACTTAATGATGGCAGACAGATGTGTATAACTCCAGTCATGTGTTAGTCCGTGTGTAGCACAACTCAACAACCAGCCTTTATATAGCTCTTACACGGTTCTCAAGCATTCTAGCAAACCTAGGTTCCCTCATTATTCTCTCAGAACATAAGGTGATTTTCTTGAACATACATCCGGAAGTCAAAACAAAATAAAGCCAGCCAAGGGAGGCAACACTGAATTGCTATCAAAAAGGCGTACCGCTAAAAATACTATTGCCATTGAACATATATGATGCAAGATGCGAGCCAAAACCTACACTCGTGACCCATAATACACAGTTCATATTACTATGGTAAGTCTGTCATTTGATGACAAAAGTGTGTCACTGTCTCAACTGTCATCTCAGATTACCATGCATCTTGTAGAAGGCGACTAACGGGATCGGGTGATCGGGCTTGCTGACTTGGGTGTTGTGCGTCATCATCTCCCAATGATGCAGATCCATGCCCATGATGTCAGTCACTTGATGGTTGGCTCCAGGCTTGATTATTTACAGGCCACCATTATATAGCTTGAAAGTTCCTGAGTGTTGAACTGAGATGAACTATAGTAACAGGAAAGAACCTAAAGACAAGAATGTTATGGATGTCAGCTTTTTTTTCATATTGTATATTCATATTCCTTCATGTGGCGGTGGGGTAGCCCAGTGGTTAAAGTGTTCGCTCGTCACACTGGAGACCCGGGTTTGATTCCCAACATAGGTACAATGTGTGAAGCCCATTTCTGGTGTCCCCTGCCGTGATATTGCTGGAATATTGCTAAAAGCGGCGTAAAACCACTCACTCACTTACAACTTCATGTTATTAAATAAAACTAGGAAACCGATAGCCCCTTGTAAAGGAAAGAACCTGGTGATCATTATCATCTTGTCAGTAGTGTATGTGTTGGGATGTAACAATAAGGTTGTGTAATTTGGAGAAATGGATGTTCTAATTCTGGACAATTTCCGGTTTCAGAAAGCCCTGCTACCTGGCATCTACATCTTGCTGGACATTGCTGACCGCTTCCAGATTGCACAGCTGCTGGCTGTCCTGCCCCACGGGACGAAGGACGTGTTTAAGCTGATGTACACTGAATACACCAAGTACCACAAGTACACAGGAAGAGTGTAATGTCCTCCACCAAATACAAAGAGTGTATTAAAGCTCATGAAAACCAGATACCCCAAGTTCAAGAGAAGGGTATGAACAATGACCCGTGGATGTTTAAAACACAAATCATAAAGGCAGCAGGAGGGACTGGGATAGCCATGAGCTCAGTCTCTTGTCTGACGTTATTGTGGTCCTGTGATGAAATATGTGACGAAATGTGCTGCAGTAGGTCCTTACATACACCTGACTGACTGACTCACTCACTCACTTGGGCCGGTGGGGTAGCCTTGTGGTTACAGCGTTCGCTTGACACGCCGAAGACCTGTGTTTGATTCCCCACATGGGTACAATGTGTGAAGCCCATTTCTGGTGTCCCCTGTTGATATTGCGGAAATATTGCTCAAAGTGGCGTAAAAATAAACTCACTCGCTCACTGTTGATCTGTTGTGTCTCGATGAGTTGTTAAGTGCAGACTGTGTACTCGCATCCGGTGATACTGCAGGTATAATGATGGTCGGTCACATCAGTTGGCTGGGATCCAGTCTACATTTTGACTTTTGTTTGTACAGTGTTTATGTACATGGAGAAATATTTCTTATGGCATAAAATTTGGATGTTTTTTAAACTGTGTCTTTGTTCTGTTTTTGGTGATTCCAGAATAACACCCAAAGACATCAAGATTTACTCAGATGAACTTGAGTCAGCTTGAGATGCATGGGTCAGTCACTGGCTAGCGAATAGTTAGTTACAGTCCGTTTGAGTCAGAAACGGACCGATGAATTGCAAATTTTATCATTGTACAAAATTGCCACATAAATATAAATAGTACACATGTTTATCATTTACTAATACCCAACAGCTTTCTTACATGTGAAAATTTTCCGGACTCCACCAAAAAGTTGTTTAAGAAACTAACATCATTGAAAACGCAAAAGTTGTTATCTGTCGCGGCGGGGTGAAACCGCAGAAACAGAACAGTCAGTCATGGCGGGGGACATCTCAAAATCTATTCCGGGAGACCTGTCGGTTCCTCATCCGTCGTAGTGTCATAGTCACGACTTAAAGGGATGACAAGTGGTGCCACAGTTGCCTGTTGTAATCCATCCCGAGACCAGTAACCTTGTTCAATGACGTTAGCTACCTTGTTGACACAGTTGTGCCAAGTTTCAGTCGTGATTTTGTTAAGGGATTCCTTAACCAAAACCTCTACGTCACGTAATCTAAAAGTTGTGTTTGATCTGGCAACATCTCCTTTGACAATACCCCATATCATTTCAATGGGGTTAAGGTCACAGTGATAGGGTGGAAGTCGCAGAATATCGTGACCCTTACTTTTTATGTAACTGTCAACTTTGCAGAAAGGTTCACCTTTATGGGTTTTTATGATCTCTTATAGCTGAGGCTTCGTTGCCTTTGAAGGCCGTGCGATCTGAAATTTGTCGAGCCATGATATCATATCACCTTTCGACTGTTCGATGTCGGGGCTTTACTGTCGGGGTCCTGCACGCTGTGGTATGGAGCATTGTCCATTACGATAAAAGACTTCTCTGGTAGAGCTGGTAGCAACTTGTTTTTAACCCAATCGAGGGAAAACCGCACCATTCATCTCGGAATGGTAGTCTCTGTTATCTGTGGACTTTGCCCTGAATACCAATTTGCAGCCTGGGAGAAAGCCTTTGCTGGATCAACCAGCATGGAGAATGTTTAGTCTCTCTCCTTTCCCTAGAGGCAGCTTTCTACGTGACCCTTTATCACCCTCATCGGGTACCCACTGACTGCTGGCAGTGTGCGAGGCATTGACCCAGGTCTCGTCCAAGTACACTGGCTCGAACCCTTCTTCGAGCTTCTTCTTTATAACCCTGAGAAAATTATTTCTCAAGCGAACGATATCAGGGCGTTCACAGAATACTGATCTATTCTCCCCCGAAATTTTCTTATAACGATACCCGGAAGAGTGTAAGAGTCGCCAGAGTGTGTACTTTGATACTCTGAGGTTGTGTTCTTGCTTCAAATGCTTTTTTAAAATTTTCAGCGACATGTATTTGTTTTCAGAATAGAGCTTGTTGATAGACTGCCTTACAAGGTTCTTTTGAAAGTTGTCCAAATGTTTTAATTTGTGTGATTTTGACACGACCCCTACCTGCTTTGCATCACCCTCTGCTGCCCGCTTACGGAATTTATTAATGGCGTAAAATGGTTTGCCCCTTTCGGCTTCAGCACGGAAAAAATCGTACACTTTAATCATCAACTGTTTCACGTCAGCATTCAACTCCATTTTTCATCAGGCATGTGTATCCCGTACACGACGAGATAGTGGCTGTTCCGTTTCTGCGGTTTCACCCCGCCGCGACAGATAACAACTTTTGCGTTTTCAATGATGATAGTTTCTTAAACAACTTTTTTGGTGGAGTCCGGAAAATTTTCAAATATAAGAAAGCAGTTGGGTATTAGTAAATGATAAACGTGTACTATTTATATTTATGTGGCAATTTTGTACAATGATAAAATTTGCAATTCATCGATCCGTTTCTGACTCAGACTGAACTTGTGAGTCACTAGTTCGCAACTGGTCGGTCTCTGCTTAGTGACTAGTCAGCCAATAGCTTGTCACTGACGAGTCTAATGTTCCTGCAGAGATGCCAACCCTAATTTAGCCCAATTAGTGTTTTGGACAAAAACTGATGCAAAAACTAGTATTTTGGGACAAGAAATAGTATTAACCTTTCCAAAGAAAGTTCATATTTAATACAGAATATTTATTCTAAGAATGTGTTATTAACATTGTACTCACCTAAATCAGTAGTAAGTATCCACATATTGCTTGATACTGAATAAAATGTGGTTGCAATTTATTGTGTATGGTACATATGCTATTGATAAGGCCAGACCAATTTTATTTCTTGTTTTACAGATTTTTTGTCCTCAGAAAACCTAAAGGCAGGAGGGAAAAAAATTAAAAATATGAATCACCAGTCAAATATCCCTTTTAAATACTAAAAGTATTTTATTTTAGGCAATTTATGAAGTTTATATGGGGAAAAAAAAACAATCTAAAAAAAATGTTTGGGTAAGTTTACATTTTTGGCCAATAAAACATGAGGATTTCAGTTTTTGGGCGGGGAAATTCATTTTTATTTTTTTTCTTATTTTTTAAAAAATACGACCAGCGGATCCGTAAAACAAGAAATAAAATTGGACTGGCCTAATTTAATTTCAGTTTTTAAAAATATGTATATTTTTACTGCTATCATAGTCACATATTTTATGTTGTTTTTTCGTAACAAATACGATAAAATTGTATGAGTTGGCATCTCTGTTCCTGGGGAGGTTTCCTTTGTGGACTCCAGGTTAGAATTGAACTGATGCTGGTTGTCTTCAGTTGATGAAATGAATCAGGTCGTCATGCTTGGTGGTTTGGTTGATTGCTTGTTATTGTACAGCAACAGTTTGCAGCTTGAATACCCGTTATAAAACCTGGCCAAGACACTGAACAGATTGTGCTATACAGAGTTGTGAGGATCTGCTGGATCCAAGATTTGCCCTGATAGTGATGAAACTCAAATACCATTCCGAGAGGCATTCAACTTAACTGACTCACTCACTACCTCCACATTGATCGGTATTCATCAGATGGCCATTACACCAGACTCTCCTCCTCTAGTAAACATCCCGGTTTGGGATAGACAGTTTGTATCCCATCGTAGATGGAGAAATAAAGAGCGATGGGATGATGTGCCCCATTGTACCCGGAGGGTTTGTATTTCACTCTTAATACATACAACTGGTTGGTCTTAACCAGGCCACTCCGTGGTGTAGTGGTTAGAGCGTCCCCGATCCCCGGACACGTCATACCAAAAGACGTTAAAATATGGTACTTGTTGGTCCCTGCCTGGCGCTCGGCATTAATGGGTACAACAAGGAATGGTCGGCTCGGAGTCAGTATAATGTGTCTGAGTGGGGTATTCATGCTTCACTGCGGCATGGTATCTCAGTGGGCTAGCACTATAAAACAGGCTTAAGTCTGGGCTAGTACAAGCAGCCGCACATACACATACACACGCATGCACGTAGTCATATGAGCGAAATATTCTCAAGCACGACGTTAAACCCAATTTCACCTCACCTCACTTAACCAGGCCAGGGCCCACTTGCACAAAGTGATCTTAGCACTACGATGGTTGTAACTCCCATACTCTAACATAGACTTAAGATAATCTTAGAGCTCCGATGGTTGTAACTCCCATACTCTAACATAGATTTCAGATAATCTTAACACTACCATGGTTGTAACTCCCATACTCTAACATAGACTTAAGATAATCTTAGCGCTACCATGGTTGTAACTCCCATACTCTAACATAGACTTAAGATAATCTTAGCACTACGATGGTTGTAACTCCCATACTCTTAACATAGACTTTAGATAATCTTAGCACTATGATGGTTGTAACTCCCATACTCTAACATAGACTTAAGATGATCTTAGCACTACGATGGTTGTAACTCCCATACTCTAACATAGACTTAAGACAATCTTAGCACTACCATGGTTGTAACTCCCATACTCTAACATAGACTTAAGACAATCTTAGCACTACCATGGTTGTAACTCCCATACTCTAACATAGACTTAAGATAATCTTAGCGCTCCGATGGTTGTAACTCCCATACTCTAACATAGATTTCAGATAATCTTAACACTACCATGGTTGTAACTCCCATACTCTAACATAGACTTAAGATAATCTTAGCGCTACCATGGTTGTAACTCCCATACTCTAACATAGACTTAAGATAATCTTAGCACTACGATGGTTGTAACTCCCATACTCTTAACATAGACTTTAGATAATCTTAGCACTATGATGGTTGTAACTCCCATACTCTAACATAGACTTAAGATGATCTTAGCACTACGATGGTTGTAACTCCCATACTCTAACATAGACTTAAGATAATCTTAGCGCTAAAGCAGCTTTGTGTATCCTGATCACTAAGAGCATTTCTTCATATAATGGTTGGGGCGATGGGGTAGCCTTGTGGTTCAAGTGTTCGCTTGTTATGCCAAAGACCCAAGTTCGATTCCCCACATAGGTACGCTATGTGAAGCCTATTACTGGTGTCCCACGCTGTGATATTGTTGGAATATTGCTAAAAGCGGCGTAAACCCATACTCACTCATATACCGTATATTACCGTCTATAAGACGACCCCATGGATAAGACGACCCCCAAACTTGACCCTTAAAATCAGTGTCAAAATGGTATGTTTCGTGCATAAGTCTATCCCCCACGATGGGGTCCTAATCGCGGCAAACACAGACCACAGACAACTGGCAGTTACCAATAATTATAACTTTGGTCCACATTATTCAAGGAATTCACAATCATATATATTGCAGTTGCTGCCTCAGCATAATACTACTTCACTGGATTTCCGTGAGGTGTATACGTCACTCACTCACTCACTCTACGTAAGAAGACAATTCTTGCTTGATAGATTCAACCTTTTATTCCTTTCAAATCACAGTCTCAAGTCAGTTGCAAACAGTTTATTTACCCTGCAACCAACCTGGTGAACAAAAAGTTAATTAACATGTAATCACCTCAAGATTACAGCCAGTGGTTTCACATCATCCAAAAGACATTTCATGCTTTAAAAAAAACATGACAGTAAAATAACAAAATTGTCTGCCATATTTTCACTATTCTTTTATTTTAAAAAAAGCAATAATTGACTTGGCATGTCTTGATGCATTATCCAGCATGACTGCTTCCTTATGTAGGTGACGCCAACGCTGTCGGTGTCAAATGGGGATGAAGGGCAGGGGTGTTAGACGGCCCAGGCTGGGTCGTAGACAATAGGGAAGAACTGGCCCTCCATCTTGTTACCCTGACAACAAAATAAACAAATTCCACATTTTATTTGTGTAGAAAAAAAAACCCATTTAAACATTGAAGGGAGTGAGTTTAGTTTTAAGCCACACTCGGCAATATTCCAGCTATATGGCTGCGGTCTGTAAACAATCGAGTCTGGACCAGACAATCCAGTAATCAACACCATGAGCATCGATCTGCGCAATTGGGAACCGATGACATGTGTCAACCAAGACAGCGAGCCTGACCACCCGATCCCGGTAGTCGCCTCTTAAGACAAGCATGGGTTACTGATAATCATTTCTAACCTGGACCTTCACGGGTTTAAGCACATAGGCATAAATAAGATATACTTAGGTGCCATAGTTACCCTGGTAAGTGTTAAGTAAAAATTACAAGTGGGATTACTCATTTAAGTCATAGTGGTCAAAGATCAAGCATTAGAGAAAACAAACTTCGAAATACAAGAGAATTTTGTAAGAATTCAGCAGTGCTATTCACTGCAGAGTGTAAAATCTGTATAACGAAATACCGACCTTTTTAGTTTCGTTATTATTTACAGTCAGATTGGTTTCGGGGCTGATTACGGCAATTGGTTGCTCATTACAGCAAGTATGGTACTAATAATTCATAAAAACGTTTTTTCTGAATTTCAAATATTTACATTCTGCTGAGGAACCTATTGAATGGGTTATTAGAGACATATAAACACGAAAGGTCATTGATTATCAATTTTTATGACTATATCACTTTGTGAACAGCAAAAGTGTATCTTACAAAAATAAATACAGGCTTATCTTAAAGTGGTATTCCATGTTGATATAAAGGTCTAGTGCTTTCTCTTTCTGGGTGAGTATGAAGAGTATTACCAATTCCACTTGTTATACTTCGCTAAATATATAGTTGTGTAATACGTTCACAAGTCCAACTACCTTTGGAACAGAAATTCCTTTGAGCAATTCCTCATCAGAGTCCGATCTGACTCCGTCAGCAAAGTAATTCAGCACGGCAGCTCGGCGGGGCACATCGGATCTGGGGTAGAGGAGACAATGGATCAGTTTAGGTGAACGTAGAACTCTACACCCAGTATGGATCAAGACTTGATGCTTTTGTTTTGTGTATTTGTGAGCGAGTGAGGATTGACGCTGATTTCAAACATATTTCAATATAGCAATATCACAGTTAGCGACACCAGAAATGGGCTCCACACATTGTACCCATGTGGGGAATTGAACCTGGGTCTTCAGTTTGATGAGTGAACGCTTTAACCACTAGGCTACCCCCCACTCAGTATAAGGAACACACATCTGCCCACAAACTGAACATGAACGGCATGACAAGTGAACGCTTATGATACACCACTGCCCAAGTTTCTGTTGAAGTTGACACACTCGGAGTAGCGTGGCATGTTTTACCAGTCACGAGTGATGCCAGTGTGGATAGTCTGCTGGAAACTAGTTTCTACTCACTTGTTGCCATAGGAACCATGAACGGCCAGTGCATGATGGAAGCTGGCATGGCCCTTCTTCAGGTTGCCTGTGATTGGCTTAAAGGCTGCTTTCTCTTCGTCGTTCAGGATTGTCTGAAACAGGAACATCCTGACTATGGGTGTTGAAGAACGTTTGACACATTTTAGATCGCCATCGCCGCTTGTATTGGATTTTACTAGAATTTAGTATCATGCTGTGATGTTTTACCTTAACAGACCTGACAAACCCATGATTGTAGACACTGACCATTTGATCCCCATTTTAGATTGCAATTAAACTCCTGAGAGATTCACCCTGCAGTGAATGGGTACCCAGTGGGATAAGTCATATGACTATTAACCGTCTAGGACTTCACAGGCAACTTGAGTTATCCAGGTTATTCTTTTGCAACTTGTTTGAGTTTAAATCGTAGATTGACTGGACTATTAATAATGTGTAGGGCATTTAGCATGCACAAGCGTGTGGACAACAGGTGCTTCACAAACAGCCATTATTATTATTACAACAGGGATGCTGCATGACAGAGTTTGATTTTTCATGGTTCATCCGTGACATCCTACACCTGAAGCGACCGCCTCCGTGGTGTAGTGGTTAGAGCGTCCGCCCGGAGAGAGGAAGGTTGCGGGTTCGATCCCCTGCCGCGTCATACCAAAAGACGTTAAAATATGGTACTTGTTGGTCCCTGCCTGGCGCTCGGCACTAATTGGTACAACAAGGACTGGTCGGCTCAGAGTCAGTATAATGTGTCTGAGTGGGGTATTCATGCTTCACTGCGGCATGGTATCTCAGTGGACTAGCACTATAAAACGAGCTTAAGTCTGGGCTAGTACAAGCAGCCGCACATACCCGCAAATACACATACACACACATGCATGTCGTCATATGAGCGAAATATTCTCAAGCACGAAGTTAAACCTAATTTCACCTCACCTCACCTCACTTACACCTGAAGCACAAGTTTGATAGATGTCATTTTGAGTGAGTGAGTGAGTTTAGTTTTACGCCGCACTCGGCAATATTCCAGCTATATGGCGTCAGTCTGTAAATAATCGAGTCTGGGCCAGACAATCCAGTGATGAGCATCGATCAGCACTATTGGGAACCGATGACATGTGTCAACCAAGTCAGCGAGCCTGACCACCCGATCCTGTTAGTCGCCTCTTACGACAAGCATAGTTGCCTTTTGTAGCAAGCATGGGTTGCTGAAGACCTATCTACCCCGGATCTTCACGGGATAGATGTCATTTTGATGTAACAGGTACTAATTTGACATTGTTTTATTCAGTTCATATACCAAGAACCTAGTTTGGTCAACACAGCGAGCATTATTAACCAAATCTGGTTTTACACTTATCTACAGTACAACTTCACACCGTGTATCCATGTGGGGAACGGAATCTGGACCTTGGCTGTGATAGATGAGCACTCTAACCGTCCAACTACCACCCCATCTCCGGTAGTCAACTAGCTATGTCATAAACACACCTGGATGGACTCCATGTCAGCGAAGTTGAAGTCCGTCACTGGGAGAGGGTTGCCATTCCTGGTCCATCTGAAACACAAATCAGCTGTACTATAATACACTGTGTCACATTTAATAAAAACAAGGTTATCTCGTAACTGTTTGAAAGACTGTTCACTGGATTGTCTGGTCCAGACTCGATTATTTACAAACCGCTGCCATATAGCTGGAATATTGCTGAGTGGGGCATAAAACTAAACTCCCTCACTCACTCACTCACTTACTTTAGGTATTCTGCAGCTGTAGAACACCATAACAACTCGAGCTAGTGGCATGAATTTTATGTTCATGTGTTGAAAATGTTAAATACTGTAATCTGATGAATTAAAATGGACAGATCACAAACCACCAAACTCAGTTTGAAATCGACCATGGAAGAGGATATCTATCCATTCTTTCATTGTATTGTCAGGCAAATTTGTGTTGTAAGTAGTAAAAACGAAATTGCACTAATACTTTCCGACACTAATTGTTCAAATGTTATAAGCAGCGATGTTTACAGTTGTTGATTGTTATATTTCCAGAAAACTTTTGTTTGTTTGTTAATGGCATGTCTTTCTCCTCATGATTGTTATATTTATGTGGCGGTGGGGTAGCCTAGTGGTTAAAGCGTTCGCTTGTCACGCCGACGGCCCGGGTTCGATTCCCAACATGGGTACAATTTGTGAAGCCCATTTCTGGTGTCCCCCGCCGTGATATTGCTGGAATATTGCTAAAAACGGCGTAAAACCATACTCAGTCAGTCAGTTATATTTATACCATATATGTACCGGTACAGAGGCCCAGATAAGCTGCGTATCCGGGTAAAATACGCATAGAAAATTTCCAATTACGCATTGAAAAATAATTGTTGCGTACTAATTACGCATTTAAAATGTTAAATACACAAAAAGTTTAAAACAAATGCGTACGGAATATATTTATAAAAATGATAAATGAAAAAGACATCGATTGCTATCATGTTGTACTGTTAGTATAGGATGAGTGATTTTCTATGAAATCATTTCCATTATATTTAAGTTGGTTTTGATTAGGTATGACATAAGGCAGAACATACCTGCTTAGAAAACTTACTCAATGACGTAATACTTAGGTGAGTAAAATGACTGAAATACGCACATATTTGAAAGCAGTGGGTAACGGAAAATGAAATACCCACTCAACATTCATAATACCCACTCCAAAAAAATACAGTGGGTACAGTACCCACATGAGCTAAATCTTATCTGGAGCTCTGTATGTTTCCCGGAGCCGTATTCAGATAAGCTTGTTTATCAATCCGATTCCACGTTGGGAAATAAATATGTTTAAACCATTGGTAAGACATCCAGCTAAGGCAGTAAAGGAGGAAAGGTGAGGCACCTTCATGGACGTCCTATCGGGACCAGAGTGTTACCAGAGACATTATTGGATCATCATCCATTTCCAGTTGGGACTTTGTTCTTAAGACAATTGTGCAATAGGAATACACAATGCCATTTAGAAATGCCACACTCATCAAATTACACTTTCTCAGTGAACTACAGATTTTGGTTCTTCTGCTGGGTTGAGCCCCTTCTGGGATTCAAACCCACACCGTCAGAGTCAGGCACGTAATCGCCACCACACATAAAGTCAGCCATCTAGCCCACTCAGCCACTACAGCTTCCAATGTGATAGAGGTGAGGTGAAATTAGGGTTAACGTCGTGCTTGAGAATATTTCGTGCTTGAGACGACGTACATGCATGTGTATGTGTGTGTGCGGCTGCTTGTACTAGCCCAGACTGAAGCTGGTTTTATAGTGCTAGCTCACTGAGATACCATGCCGCAGTGAAGCATGAATACCTCAGACACATTATACGACTCCGAGCCGACCAGTCCTTGTTGTACCCATTAATGCTGAGCGCCAGGCAGGGACCAACAAGTACCATATTTTAACGTCTTTTGGTATGACGTGGTCGGGGTTCAAACTTGCGACCTTCTGCTGTCCGGGGTGGACGCTCTAACCACTACACCACGGAGGCGGTACCAATGTGATGTATATGAAAGGATAAGTGAAAGAAACTAATCATGATAGACATCTTATTACTTGTGTGAGCCTGGGATGTACTTGAGAGCCCCGTTCTGTTCGAACTGTTCATCCAGCGCTATGTGCACCTGAAACAGGTAGAATACAGCCAGGCTAGTCCAGGTCAAGTCATTCTCATTTAAAGATATCTTATTGTTTAAACAATTAAAATATATATTATTTCAGTGTTTGTATAAATATTGTTTAAAAATTATATTTAGATTGAAAATAACCTTTTTAACATCTTTGGTTTTTTTTAAATTATTCAAAAATTATTCAGGGTTATCTTTGAGAAATATCCTGCCAACATTTTCATGTTAGATTTGCTTCCTGACTGTTGGTGGGGTGAAGTCATGTTTTTAATTATTCCGGTAGTCAGAAGATAACCTGAGGTTGTTAATGCTACTCGAAAAAAGTTAAAGAACAGTTGATTAATTCATATTATAATAGTCATTCTGTCGTGACATTCTATATGCATAAGCGCAGTGTATGAAATAAGGCCCGTCCAACCGCCTGAGATGGGTTAAATTTCAGATGGAGGGTCTAGATTCACAGCTAGCCAGCCTGATAGTTATATATACGTCTGAGTCATATCTTGGTGTCTGGTCTGGTTAAATCCATTTTGGGCTGGTAACAGTTTGAAGTTATCAGCCGTGATGTCTGGCTGGGGTTTTGGCTGATTTCATACGCTGTTAAACGTCAGTGACTAGATCCATGAAGGGATGTGTTCGGTAGATGGTAGTGTTGGGAATTGTTTAAAATCTCATAATTGATGATTGGTCCATTACAACCGATCAATCATCGAAAATAATTGGTTAGCGTCATTTATCAAATGTTCCTTTTGTCTTTGTAAAAAATAAAGAAAAAACATGTAGTAATTTGTTGTTTTTTTGCAAATTAAAGAACCACTAAACTTTGTTTTTTGTTACTCTTTTAACCATTACATATGAAAGATTTGTGGTTAGTCTTATGCGGAACACCAAATTTATTCTTTAAAAACTTGTGGTTAATTAATACCGAGCGATTAAAAGTGGCCAAAAAGTGGCCTGCTTCCCTCTCGCCCGCCAACGAAACCACAGACAGGTTACGTAACTCTGTCGCCAGAGCACTGCAGTGACGTCATATGAGGAACGATTTTCAGTTAGGTGTATAGAAAGTGTGTAGCACGCTCATCATTTTGATGATTTTCGACATGAACGACGACATGCCGAATCGTTGCTTTGTCGTCAATTGCTCCTAGGGGTCGGGTGATGGTGTCACCATGCACAGATTTCCACAGGACCCCGCAGTTCGTACTAAATGGGTTATGTTTGTGAGTGCGAAACGAGCGTTGTGGAAGCCTGAAACGATATCTTACTTGTGTTCAGATCGCTTCACGGAAGTTAAAGAATCAAAACTACATACTAGTTATAGTAAAATATGTATATGATTGATGACCATAAAGATTTTCCATAAGACAACTTGTAACATAACGATTTCTTCCTCGGAAGTGAGGTTGTGGTCGAAGTAACAATAATATTGTAAGTAGTATTATATTGACACCCACCTCGCTGCCAGGAGAGAAATTGTTATGTTATACGCTATGTCATGCAAAATCCTATTGGCCATCAATAAAATACATATTTTACTACCAGTAGAAAGTAGTTTTGATTTTGTAACTCGGTGAAAACAAACCTAAATAGCATTTATCCACAGACTGGCGGATGTTCCAGACAGGGCCGCCATTTTGAAAATCGTAAAGTCTGTTAGAATTAATGAGATTATAGTTTGTTTTCATCAAGTTAGAAAATCAAAACTACTTTCTACTAAAAGTTAAATATGTATTGGAATCATAACCAAAAGGATTTTGCATGACACAACTTATGACATAACGATTTCTTCCACGGAAGGCAGGTGGGGGTCGAAGTCACAATACTGCTTGCCGATAAATTTCTTGCTACATTTACATGGTTAATGTCCACTCACCAGTATGTAGATACTAGTCAATGTGCTGCCTTTATATTTGGTCTTATAATCCTAATTAGTTTATTATCATACTTTTATGCATTTTGAAACTAAATAAAAGCTGACGATCTGCTGATACTTATAGTGAATTTATAACAGAACTGTAATATCTAGACATTTTATAGTTTGCCAATGTGAATCATAATTAGCACACACACCCTAGTGTATGTTGTCTGTCTCATTACACTTCACGCGAAAACAATGATTCTGTTGAATGCTACGACAAATGAATAAAAACAAAATGCAAATATTAAAATTAAAACAGATTAAAGTTATAGGAACAATATCAGGCCATTACCTTGTTTGAGGAATGTATCCATCAATATCCACAAAACTGTTCCAAATGATGTGTCTTTTAACAGTTTAATATACCTGAAAAAAGTGATAAATCTTTTCAGGTATTGGTGTATAGTCTCATTGGTCACCCAAGATAGCACACCTGGCAACTAATTGCATAATGTCCGCCTTTCATTAAAAACAGTAATTTAGTTAGCCAATAATGGGCAATCAATCAATGTATTGCCGGTTAATCCTTTGAAAGAAGGACGTTGTTTTACGCGAGACACCGACGCGGCAGAGTGTATTCAGTATAGATTAGTAAATCTACATACATAAACACTACCTTTTGACAATTCCGCTGTGTAAGATAAAAGTAATTAATCAATCAGCGTGTTATCGGTTAATCCTTTGATCGATGTTTATAATGTTGAATATTTACTCCAGACACAAGAAATGCCAAATGGGAACCTTTGTCGGGTAATCTAAGTGTGTTACCACTAATTATACCTGTTATAAATTCATTAACTGACCATCAAGTGAATGATGACAAATAACATGTGTAGGTTTATACCACCTAACACGGGTTACAACAAGGGAGTATTAATTGCTGTATTGCATGTGAAAACTTATGGGCCGACACTGTTTTGAGAATACAAACAGATTTTTACATGACATGATTAAATATCGAGGTAAAAAACACAGAAATGGGATCAATTTGGATCAGTCATTATACAAATAGGGCCTAACGACACCAATCAATTGTGACAGAAGCGTCTATGAAAACAAGTTGTAACTCGGAAACTAGGCAAAGCAGGAGACAAAATTAAATGACAGTAGATTGTGAGAACATATAGCTTTCATTTTCCACAACAATTGTCACGATTTCAGGTTTATACAAGCCTGTAAACAAGATAATTTAACCCCTAAAATGTAGATGAATTCTGCACAGGCCCTCCAAGCTATTCCTCATATGACGTCACAGAGTCGCGCCGCTCTGATTGGTTGAAATTTCGTTCGCGGGTGAGAATTGTGCACTGTTGTCAAAAAGTTCGATTTAAGTCAATTAAAGGTCGAAATGAGTAGTTTTAATGACGGGGTTTCATTTATAACGATGCCAGTTAGTGATTTATGTATTTTTACCCCCTAGGGTTTATGTGACCTTTAAACAAAATCCATTTGAAAATTTTGCATATTTAAAGGATTATTAGTATGTTAGGAACACAGATTTCCTGGATTCTTTAAGATAAATTCAATCATGACTTGGAACGAGCTTGTGCTTATGAAATGTAAATTTAATGACACAGACAAAAGCAACCTTGTGAAAAATATTGTTCATGCAAACAAGTGTTCCAAGATTGGTTGCGTTCGATTATGAGAAAACATGTTCGATTGCTTGGTCGTTTAGTCACTGCGACCAATCTTCGATTATTTCAATTAATCGGACCACCACTAGTAGATGGCAGGATGGTTGTTGCAAATTTTGGATTAAACGTATTCGCAATGTAATCTGAGTGCTCATTGGTCAGAATGGTAGCCTAAGCAGTCTACTGCTTGATTCATTGGTCGAATATAGCACAGTATTGACAATGAATACAAAACAGGAAATTTCTTGTCTAGCAAGTATCTGTGGCCATATTGGGATTGCCCATACAAGCAAGGGAGGTAAGCAGGTCATTGCAAGCAATGAGGGTAGCAGGCAGGAAGTGCCGCCTACCGTTAAATGCATCATGGGTTTTGTGCGGGTCCAGTACGAATAGTCCTGGTGCCTGCAACACAGCAGTTAGCTCCCTTTGAAGATAGCAAGATTCTTGAGTAGGTAAGTATGACATTAAATATGATATACAAATGTATCATTATCATAAAAAAAATTGTAATAACAAACAACATATTGAAACTCAACAGTGGGAATTGTAACCACAATTATTGTGTTTAAGCGTCAATTACTTTGGCTAGAAAGTAAAGTTTGGAGAAAAGACCCTATGTTACCCGAATCTAAGTGGGGCAGCCAAGTTGGTCAAGATTGGGTCACTGCGTAAGGTGGGGGGCTTTCGTTTCCCCTTTTATTTGGTATTTGCCCTTCTTCTCTAATAAAATGATTGCTAAAAACACATGGTGGTTTTCATGTTGAAGTTAAGTGAAATAGCGGTGCTCTTTGAGTCTTTAGTTTAAGAATCATATGCATGAATGCTTGGTAAGCTGTCATTGCATGACCTTCTTGGAATAAGGGTGCCCCCTTTTGAAATTCTGTCGCCCTGCCCTTTTTGGATCCTAGGGAAAACACTATGATGCATAATGTTGCTTTCAAGGTTATTATTATCGATGCTCATGCTGTTGATCACTGGATTGTCTGGTCCAGACTCGATTATTTACAGACCGCCGCCATTTAGCTGGGATATTGCTGAGTCCGGCGTAAAACTAAACTCACTCACTCACTCACTTCAAGGTTATTGCACTTAGATAAATCAGACATTGCAGTTATTGCAGTCTTTTATGTGACCATATGTAGTGTAGATGTGGACGCCATGATTCCCCCATTTCAGAATGAGGCTCTTTTATACTTGTCATGTGACCATGTACACAGAAGCTAATATTGTATTAAGCTCATTACAGTGGGTGGGGTATTATGTTGCTTTCAAGGTTATTACACTTACATAGCAACATGCATGCAGGAGTGTGAAGCTAGTTGTCCTAGTCCGAACTGAGGCCAGTACAGTGAAACCTGCCATCACCGGCACCTGTCTAATCCGGCACACTGTCAAAACCGGCATAAATTTTGGTCCCCCCATTTTACAACGATATTATGATCATTAAAACATTGTCTAATCCGGCACACTGTCAAAACCGGCATAAATGTTTGGTCCCCCAATTTTAAAACGATATTGTGATCATTAAAACATTGTCTAATCCAGCACCTGTCTATTCCGTATTCCGGGAGGACTTTCCGGTCTCGACAAGCAATTTTAACTGTAATTAACAGTAATTGTTATTTGAACAATGTTTAGTACTGTATAAAGAATAATTATCTGTCATCAACATTGTATTAATTTGTTGCACAATTACAAAACATCAAAGGCATTATATAGATGAAGAGATTGAGAAGTGTAAATGGCAGCCATGTTGGAAAATGATCATCACTGTCTAATCTGGCACCATGTCTAAACCGGCATTATATTTCGGTCAGCCTAGTGGTGAAAGTGTTTGCTTTTCTCAATGAAAGCCCAAGTTTGATTCCTTGTTGGTGTAAAACTATATGCTCTGATTCTGGCATTCAAGATGGTAGACTCCCACTCACCAGGCAACAACCCCACCATGATGTGGGGGTTTAGCAAACAGCTGATCGTGCCAGAATCGGACCGGAACCTCTTTCCCTGATGGGTCTAGCAGCTGAGATGCAGGTACCTGTCAGTAGCAAGGATGAAACAGACAGATTTATCAACAACTGAGATGATGTCACACCTACACAAAGTCTTGTATGTTTCATGTGGAAAGTCAAGTCTAAACTAAACAAGGGAGGATGTCCATGTTGTGGAACAGCCTGTTATAATGTCAAACTTACACTGAAGGGAGGAAGGATAAATCATGGAACAGCTCTGCTATAATGTCATACAACACCTGGGGGGAGGAAGGATAAATCATAGTAAAGCTCTGCTATAATGTCATACAGCAACTGAGGGAAGGAAGGATAAATCATGGAACAGCTCTACTATAATATCATACTTACAACCACCGAGGGGAGGAAGGCCAGATCATGGAACAGCTCTGCTATAATGTCATACTTACAACCACCGAGGGGAGGAAGGCCAGATCATGGAACAGCTCTGCTATAATGTCATACTTACAACCACCGAGGGGAGGAAGGTCAGATCATGGAACAGCTCTGCTATAATGTCATACTTACAACCACCGAGGGGAGGAAGGTCAGATCATGGAACATCTTGGTCATCCGCCAGTGTCCCAGACAGTGCATGAGTACCCGTGTAGGGTCTCCAGTTTGGTTGCTATGGTATTCATACAACAAGTCCATCCCTGGGTGTTTTTCGTCCTTATTCTGGTGGACATGAAACAGAGGATATCAGAGATATAAGATGTCTGCCACAACAGCTCTCAGCTAGAGGTAGTAGTACCGAGGTGGTGTAATTATAAATTTAAACAAGAAGACAAAGTCATCAAAATCCCCTGCAACGGCAAAATACTCTTTATGAATATGTCTACTAGTTATGATTATGTCAGATGTTTTGGAGTGTATACAGCAAAGTGGAAGGAGAGTAGTGAAAGGTTTTTAAGATCTGCTCCAGAAAGGAGCACTACCACCAAATTCAATTTAAGCCTAACTTGTTGCCATGGAAATGCAACAAGATGACATCATGTACAGTTTAGGAGATCTGCTCCAGACAAGATGACATCCTCATAGTCACAGCCTAAATCACGTTTCCATGAAAACCGCCAAAATAAAATTCATATCTAGGTCTAACCCCCCAAAGGCACATCTAGGGATCATTCTTGACATATGTACCAAGTTTGATGAAGCTAGCATGTATAGTTTGGGAGATCTGCTCCGGACAAGATGACATCGTCATAGTCACAGCCTAAATCACGTTTCCATGGAAACCGCAAAAAATAAAATTCGCATCTGGGTCTAACTCCCAAAAGGCACATCTAGGGATCACGCTTGACATGTGTACCAAGTTTGGTTAAGCTATCACCCATAGATTAGGAGATATGCTTCGGACAAAGTGTGACGGACGCACAGACGGACGGAACTCGTTTCTATATCTATTTCTAATAATAAAGCCTTTTCCAACAAATTGTTTAGAGGCGCTCAAGACAAAAGCAATGTCAAAAAGCTGTGTTTTTATAATTCGTTTGACCTGTTCGAATTCCCATGTCCTGGATGTCTGGAAAAAGATCTGTCTGATAGGCTTTTTGTGGTCTTTCTTTTCATAATAATAATTCCCATCATGGATCATGGTTCTCAGTAATTATTACTAAAAACCAGCTATCTGCTGGATGTAGAATTTATACAAATCATAGTAAGTATCTTGTATAGTCTGTCTCACAGTCCCTGAACCACATTATTTTCCCTTCTGCCTATTCCTCCCTGCAATGCTGAAGTCCTAAATAAAGCAAGTCTAGATTTACCCTGAATTTCCCAACTCACTGGGCTCCTTTTCAATATAAATAGGTTTTTTTGTTTCTATCAAAACTATATATATATTCAGGGACTAAGCATTATCTTGTACAGAACAGCTTTCAGCTAGAGGTCGCGTCAATCGTCAGTGGCTGTACTGTGCTCACCGTGAAGTACTTGTAGTCATCCAGTATTCTGTCGCACTGTTCTGCTGAGAGAATCGGCACATTGAGAAGGTAGCCATCTTTGTTGAACTGGGCAATCTGGTCATCTGTCAAACGGAACTTGGACCAGTCAGACTTGTTCTGCAACAAGGACCACAATATAATGTTCAATCTCTAGCATATGGTGATTACTTGCTTGATAGCGTTGTTAGCAACAACACCGAAACCAGGGGTGGAAATAACTTTAAAATTGCTACAGTCCGTTTGGCTCAAAAGCAGACCGATGAAGTGCAATCTAACTCGAAAACTATCATTAAAATATTGACACAGTTCACTATTTGTTACGAGGGAGGAGTGCAGAGAAAGGGACAGCCAGGTGTTCGAGAAGCACGTTCACAAAGTTATTTATTCATTAACCTGTGCTGTGCCGTCTCCATCCGTTCTCGAACACCTGGAAATGATAGTTTGATAAACAACTTTTCTATTTTTAGGACAAAAATTCTGCAAAAACCTCACAGAGTTGGTGTGATGTTTTGATTATGATCAGCGTTTCATTGAGTATGTTATGTTTATTAGTTTTCGAGTTAGATTGCAATTCATCGGTCCGCTTTTGAGCCAAACGGACTATAGTGTCCTCCGGGAACAGTGGCACATGTAAAATCACTTGCCCTGATAAATTTTCCTCTATACCGTCCGTTTTCTTGTTGATTTTTTAAATAAACAACATAATTAACATTGGAAAGTCAACTGGACACCGGTACAGTGTGATATACAAATTTGCTTGCCTGACAGAAAAAAACACTGGACTCGGACGTCGGGCAATGGGTTATTTCCACCCCTGCGAAACATCTCATGCATTGTCATGAAGAAATTGAACATGAGTGAGTGAGTGAGTGAGTGCATGTTTTTTACGCCACTTTTAGCAATATTCCAGCAATATCACGGCGTGGGACACCAGAAATGGGCTTCACACATTGTACCCATGTGGGGTATCGAATCCAGATCTTCGGGGTGGCGAGTGAAAGCTTTAACCACTAGGCTACCCCACCGCCCCTGAACAACCATAGAACTAACTATCTCCCATGTTCATCACACCAGCTTATAATTTCCATTCAAAGAAGTATTAACGGAGCTAATAAACATAGGGCAATGGTTAAAATTAAACTGCTAACGGTAAAACGGTAAAAATGAATTTAAGACAACAATTTTCTAACTCAGCTTAAATGACCAGTAACAGTGAGTGAGTTTAGTTTTACGCCACACTCAGCAATATTCCAGCTGTATGCTGGCAGTCTGTAAATAGTCGAGTCTGGACCAGACAATCCAGTGATCAGCAGTATGAACACTGATCTACGCAATTAGTTGCCTCTTATGACAAACATGGGTTACTGAAGACCAATTCTAACCCAGATCTTCACGCGTCTGACCAGTAACATTGGTGGGTAAAAAACAAATTCACTAAATTTGAAAGTGTTTGAGAAAATTTGTTTGTTTCGTTTAAAGATGCACTTAGCAATATTCCAGCCATATGGCAACGACCTATAAATAATCGAGTGACAATCCTGTGATCTACATCATGAGCATCAATGTACTCAACTGGGATACGATGACATTTGTGAGAAAATTTGTCTTCATTGAGAAGTGGACCCATGAAGATCTGGGGTAGAATAGGTCTTCAGCAACCCATGCTTGCCACAAAAGGCGACTATGCTTGTCGTAAGAGACGACTAACGGGAACGGGTGGTCAGGCTCGCTGACTTTGTTGACACATGTCATCGGTTCCCAATTGCGCAGATCGATGCTCATGCTGTTGATCACTGGATTGTCTGGTCCAGACTTGATTATTTACAGACCGCCGCCATATAGCTGGAATATTACTGAGTGCGGCGTAAAACTAAACTCACTCACGCACTCATAGAGAAGTGAATGAATGGACAGATGGACAGATGGATGGGTGGAAGGACATACAAAAGGAAGGACCCAGAATGTCGTGCACAGATACATACAGTCACTGGAGGAAACAGGTCACCGACGGCCTCGTGCACGGTGCTGTAGTCGGGCACCCCGGGGGTGGATCTCCTTGGGTGTGGCAGGCATTGTTCTTTCTTCAGTCTCGACACTTTAGCTGAAACACAGATTATCTACTGTTGAGCCTTTTCTGTATCTTAGATGTAACATATGTTATATTTGGGATTACACTTTCTTTGTAAAGTACAGATTCTCGTACTTTTGTTGGTTTGAGTCCCATCCGCCTAGACCGCTCAGCCACCGCGGCTTCCACCAAAAATGGAAGTCGGACAACTAGTAGTCTAGGCTGCGGACTTTGTGTACCCCTCTGATAAGCATTAATTGGCACGGCTCCCACGGCCGAAAGCTATGAAATACATAGATGAAGATCTATGAAGTATCTTAGATGATGCTAAAACATAGTGACACAACAACCAATTTTCATCGTGTGTGTGTGTGTCCGTGCGTGAGTGCATGTGTGTGAGTGACACAGACACAGAGAAAGTTTAGTTTTACGTGGCTTTTAGCAATATTGCAGCAATTTCATGGCGGGGGACACCAGAACTGGGCTTCACACATTGTACCCATGTGGGAAATTGAACCCGTGTCTTTGGTGTGAGAAGAGAATGCTTTAAAGGGCCACTGATGCAGAGCAATTTCCATGGACTGGTTGTTGCTTTTGTTATTGTTTTTCTCCCGTGAGTACCTGGATGATATCCAAGAATTCATGACTGGTTCGTTACCTGTGCTGCGCCACTACCATGCGTAATTGATAGAAAACGTATAGACTGATCAACAAAGATGAAATCTTTTTTACTCGATAATCTTGATGTCGTAAAATTATGTAGACTGTGATGAATAATTTGGTTTCTTATAGAAAAATATTCAGTTTGATAAAAATGCTGATTTTGATGTAAAATTTTTATTTCATAGTAATGTTGACTTTATAAAAATGTTAACGTAAATGGATGTAGAATTTGATTTAAGAAATAGTTTGACCTTGAATTGGGTGAGAAGCCTGATACAATAGCATTGTTTGAAAGTAAGGCTAACTAAGTACATGGAGAGTCTTGGGGAGAGTAGTAAGCTTGGGTTCACTTCTAGTCAATCTAAATGTTGTATTAAATGGCATTATTTTGATAACAAATGAAAACATTTTAAGTTTAACCATCTGCCAGTGGTAAAAAATGTTAGGACTGAAATAACGAAGTCAATGTACATCTATATATTTTGTCTTATAATCGTAATTAGTTTATTATCATATTTGTATGCATTTTGAAACTTAATAAAATGCACACGATCTGCTTATACTTAGTGAATTTATAACATGACTGTAATATCTTGACGTGTATCATATTTCACACACACGCCCTAAGTGCGATCTAGTGTATGTTGTCTGTCTCCTTACCTTTCACGGCAAAAAAAATGATTCTGTTGAATGCCATAACAAATAGATTGACAAATAACATATGTGTAGGTTTACCAGCAAACAAGGGTTACAGCAAGAGAGTAGTAATCGCTGTATTGCATGCAAGTTTGATTGTCTGAAAAAACCCTTATGGGCCGACACTGTTTTGACGATAGGAATGGATCGAACTTCATTGTTACATAAGAAATATATATAAACATTTGCTGTGTACTTATTTAGAAACTGTATATACCTATGTACCTAAGTACAATTTCTGATTTTTTTTTTAGCAATGGCAAAGTGGGGTTGTTTAGTTCATGGATTCAAATATATCAAATGTGTGTTTTTGATATCATAGCATACGTAATAGACATCATATTTTTACATGATTAAATATCGAGGTAAAAAACACAGAAATAGCAGTGTTCACGAATGGTATTTCAAAGTAATAGGACATTGGGTCCTGTAAGTTTAAGATGTCTGTCTGACCCACTGAAAATTCACAGGACCCATGGAATAAAATTAAACACACATTTCAGATTTAATATTTCTTATAATTGGTATTGAAACTATTAACAAACATAAGAAAAATGAAGATAAAATATACAGCAAACAAGTGTCACATGTCACATATAACAACTTCAGTCAAAGTCATTGTGAAATATACAGTCGGACACTCGGGCCGGTGGGTTGTAGACTTCTATCGGAACGTTGGCAAATCTGCCGGATTTGTCAGAGGGTCAGACACTATTCGCGAACACTGAAATAGGATCAAATTGGATCAGTCACTATACCATCCAAACATTTGTAAATCTGAAAATGCCTGCACTGCTGGGATACTTTATTACAATCAAACAAGAACTGTCGGGGATATTTTCATATAATGGCATCTGATGGGCATCCACCCTTCCTAATGTCCCACTGATTAGGTTGAAGAAATTCTGCCAAAGTGGACAGTAGTCAGGGTGGACAGTAGCCCAGTCGAGGGAGCAGACACTGACCAGTTTGCAGCTAGGTTTCGTAATTAGACTGTTGGCGAGAAACATTAATCGCTCTGGATCAGTGGCCCTTTAACTACGAGGCTAGCTCACCGAGGCTACCTCAACGTCCCTCCTTGATATGAGGATAGTTAATCAGTCATGGCTTTACTGCAGTCATATGGAAAAAATCAGCCGTTCTTTCATTCATTTTTTCTAAGCATCATTTCTGCTAAGTATTCTGGAATATTTTTAAAAAAAACAACCCATAAAAGACAAATACAAACATGCACAGTACTACAGCTTCCAAAACACCATGAAATAACCCTTACAATACATCCCCAATATTTTTTTTCTGAAACAGCATTTGCCAGTAGTCCATATACCCAAGGTTTCTCTGCTTCAAGAGATAAAACAAGACCTACCTTGAAGGCTGTTGCTCTAACAATGATAATAAACAACAGGATGTACACGCAAGGGTTTCATGACTGATAACTGCCCCTGTTAAAACCGGTGGTTTATCTCTACAATGGGTCAAGTATGCTACCGAGTTAAATTTGATAAAAACAATGATGGACTGGTGAACTAAACTGACTCTTAGTCTCTGAATATATGTATAACTTTGATAGAAACAAATAATAACTATTAAATTGATAAGGAGAACCAGTGAGATGGGAGACTCAGAACCTGAGAAAATCTAGAGTTGCTTCATTTTGGCTTTGGAAAGGGCAGGGTGGAAGGGAAATAACACCAGGACATCCACTCTACCACAACGCTATATAGGTGGGGTATTTCAGAACATGGTGAAAACTTTTCAATTAGGACTGACCATAACTACTTCATTCATAACATGACAATAGTTGACAAAGTCCAAATCAACAATCAGGGATATAAATCCATGATCACAGGTTCAAAACATGCAACAGATGTCTAAGTCATCAATATCATTTTCTTCTTCCTTTTCAGGAAGAGCTGAAAAAATTTTCAAACCACACTTTTTTAAGAAATATTATTATTTCATTGGTAAAAGAGGAAATGAACCTTTTTCCAGAATTTATGTTTCATTATTCCACCAAGCCTTGAGCTGGTGAACACAGAAGTAACTGCTAAGCAGAGAGACCGTCTACATACCTAATGATGTAATGCTGGTCTTGAGAGGTCGATATCACATTACAGATAACACACAGAGTGTATCAGTGTTACATATATATAGGTCAATAACTGTCCAATTACAACTTGCTTCAAAACCTTGACCTTCATAGTCAACCAATCAGCTGCCAGAACAATCCAGTGTAATGAGTTGCTAAAGTTCATGTAAACTGTGACAAGAACTGGAGTATGTAGAGGACTATACTAGATCTTCTTCTGATGACACGATCTTGTTTCTAAACAACACAATGACGTATCAAATGTTATATTTGGGATTACACTTTCTCAGTCAATACAGGTTCTTGTACTTTTGTTAGGTTGAGTAATCAACACTCTGCGAGTCAGGGCACCAAATCACCAGCGGTCAGTGAGAGAGAGAGAGAGAAAATGTTTATTAAAGTGTCACGTGCTTTTGCAATAAAATACAGTACATAACATTAAAGACATACATTAAACACAAAAAGGACCCGGCTATTTGGCCTATGAGACAAGCATTATCACAGTAATATAATAAAATAAGAGAATGTAAATAAAACACACCATTACATACATTCCAGATTAATAACATGATAGTTTAATCACACAAAAGTTATAAAAGCACTTCACCATATTGACGTAAACGTGCACTCACACGCAAACATGCAATTATGCACTCACTCAACCCCTCATGCAATCCTGCAGTCATCTGCGTCCGCCCGGAGAGCGGAAGGTCGTACCAAAAGACGTTAAAATATGGTACTTGTTGGTCCCTGCCTGGCGCTCGGCATTAATGGGTACAACAAGGGCTGGTCGGCTCGGAGTCAGTATAATGTGTCTGAGTGGGGTATTCATGCTTCACTGCAGCATGGTATCTCAGTGGGCTAGCACTATAAAACCAGCTTAAGTCTGGGCTAGTACAAGCAGCCGCACATACACCACAACACACACGCATGCACGTCGTCATATGAGCGAAATATTCTCAAGTATGACGTTAAACCCAATTTCACCTCACCTCACCTCACCTCACCAGCAGTCATCTATCCCACTCAGCCATCACAACTTCCACTATCGTATTCAACATGACAATATTTTTTTCAAGATGACACCCTTACTTCATTGTAAATAATGAACACAATTAAAATTAATTAATATGAACAAAATTTCAAAACATATACGTAGAGAAACAAATAAAGGAACACGGGAACATTCAAGCGCTCCTTTATTATTTTCCAGTTTTCATCACCACAGCGCTATTCAAAGCTGGTGATGAAAACAATAAAATATTAAAGGAACACTTGAATTTTCTTGTGTTCCTTTATTTGTTTCTATAAGTATATTATTTCTGGGGAGAAATGTTCCTGCAAAGCCTGTTTCACTTAATGAGCAGAGGTAATGCCATTCTGAATATGGGTAGCCAAAAACTGACCTAGTTGTAGCGAGGAACTTGCAGAACATATTCCTGTAAAGTTATATTGACATCTATCATCCATAAGGGAAGATTTGTAAACATTGTACTTATCAGGAGGTAGAAGATGAATACCATTTCTTGATTGCTTGTCCATTATATACAAATATGAGAGAAGAATGCATAAAGAAATATTTCTATTTGAACCCCGAATACACATATTCTATACCCTCTTATCCAGCCTCATGTAAGAATGTCGAGTTTTGATTGGTTCACGTGACTCTGATAAAATACCATGTACACCCGTCACGATCCACGAGCAGGGAGTACAAAAGTCATATTATCCTGCCATGCCTCGGTGACCACGCGAAGTGAGAAAAGCGTGCATCGCCAAGCCTTTAGTAACGTGCGCTGCATTGAGGTCAATCGATCACATAAATAAAAACAAGTCGATTCGATGCATATTGTTTTCTTTTGATTTAGTAAACACATTCGGCTAGATAAATGCGTTATCACATCGTGTCTCGGGAAATACATTACCGATGTGATACCATTTACTATATATATTTATTTCTATTGCACCCTTTGCTATAGATTTGCACACGTCTAAGGTAAAAATTAACAGTTAAAATGATCATTTATAATAAAAAAATTTTAACAAACTGGGGCCGTCCGCTTATCTAGACTTGCCTCTTCAAAGCATAGAATTACTATACATCCATGGGCTAAGAATTCAGTACAGCCGTGGAGCAAGGCTAGCTTTGCTACTGCATGTAAAACTGTACTATAGGCCAATAGCCTCTTCAGTACTGTAAATATAGAATGATAGATAAGGGGAGAAATAACCAAGATCATATAAGTTCTACCTGTACTGGTGTGAAAACTGCTTTAAGCGGATACAGTCGAACCCCGTTTACTCGGACCATGTATATCCGGAAACCCCGCCTTCCAGACGATTTTTAGGTGAAACGAAACTTACCTTCAGTTAGCGTACTCACTTAGGTGGACCCTGCACTTCTGGACCCGTACGGAGAATTTTCAAATATATATTCCCATATATTTTCATTGAAAAATGATCCTGTTATCCGGACAGAAAGATTTGTGTGCATGTGTAGTCATTGTTAATCTCTCTCGGCAGGCGTTTGATGTGAATTGATTAATTACCCATCCACCCACTAGGGACGGGGGTCACATCAGTTGTTAATTAGGATTTGGCGGTCTACTCCCATTTGTGAGAACTCACAGTTGTGAGACTTCCAGTTGTGAGACAGTGGAGTAGGTAAGTAGCAAAGAAAACACACCTTACTCCCCTATCTGATAGAATGGATTAACCCCAGCTAATGAGGGATTAGATATTTAACTGAATCTTGTGGAGGTAGCTTAAAAGATAAAGTAATTAACCTACTCAGGTAAATGGCCTTAAAAAATAAACACTTTGTGTAGGTAACTTCGTGATCAATATGAAAAGTGTCAAAATCTCCAAATATGGACCCATGTAAAAAAGTGTTTTATAATGACACACAAACATCATAATAATGCAAATCATCAAAATGTGTGAATCAAAAATCATAATGAAATATTTAATGAACTATTTCTTCTGTGTAAATATAATGATAATCTTTTCCAGTATTTCAGTATTTTACTTGTTCTTTATTGAAAACAATAAATGCTCTTTAATGCTCATTAATGAACTATGCCTCCTGCGGGTCCTCTTCAGCAACAGGGCTGTTCCCACTTTCATTGTAGGGATGGGGAAGCACCACCTGTGTGCACTGAACCATTAATTAATGTGTCTCACAACTGGGAGTTCTCACAAATGGGAAGTGTGAGAACATCTCATCAGCAATTAAAACATATGTTAATTAGGATTAGGATTAACTACATTGTAATTGCACCATATATAACTTCTCCTCAATATGCATCGTTAGTGAGTGAGTGAGTTTAGTTTTACGCCGCATGTGTCAACCAAGTCAGCGAGCCTGACCACCCGATCCCGTTAGTCGCCTCTTACAACAAGCATGGGTTACTGAAGGCTCATTCTAACCCGAACCTTCACGGGTACAATATGCATCGTCAATACGTTTTCCAAGGTCGGAATGAGTGAGTGAGTTGGGTTTTACACCGCTTTTAGCAATATTCCAGCAATATCATGGCTGGGGACACCAGAAATGGGCTTCACACATTGTGCCCATGTGGGGAATCGAACTTGGGTCTTCGGCGTGAGGAGCGAACGCATTACCACTAGGCTACCCCGCCGCCCCCAAGGTCGGAATGAAGTCACACTAGAAATGACATCATGGCTGATGATAGTTGACGTCATTCTAAATTTTTGGTGGTCGTGATCAGTACAGTTTGCAATGTGGAGCTCAAGAGGATTAAGATATCATTGGTAATTAAAAAATATTCTATGTATGTTTACTAATTTTACAAAATTGTGAAAGAATTTATCCATTGCCCTTTCTCTTGCTTACAAAATACAAGAACTCGGACATTCATTTCATCAAATAATTTGGCAAATATGCTTGCAGAAAAAAGAGATTATAAGATTGGTTGATAATAGACAGATGGACAGACCACAGACAAAGTTTGTCTCAAGTGAGAGAGTTTAGTTTTATGCTGCACTTCTTTCAGCTATATGGCAGCGGTCTGTAAATAATCGAGTCTGGGCCAGATGATCCAATGATCAACAGCATGAGCATCGATCAACCAAGTCAGCAAGCCAGGCCACCCGATCCCGTTAGTCGCCACTTACAAGCATGGGTTACTTAGGAGATAAACATACTGTGTTGGAAAATCAGAGGTATATAACGAAATTATAATAGCTCTAAATTTGATTTAAAACTGAAGGCGTAGCATGATAAAAAATTTAGAGCTATTATAATTTTGTAGTATACCTCGGATTTTCCAACAGTATTTTTCTCCATTTCACCTTAACCATGTTATTTTAAAAAGATACATATTGTGTTGGAAAATCAGAGGTATATTACATTATATACCTCTGAATGACTTTAATTAACCAATCACAATCCAGTATTTATTGAAGTCATGGTAGAATGAAGATCAATTCTAACCCTGATCTTCACAGGTCAAGTTGTGTCGTAAGTCACACTAACAACGTCAAGGTGAGCTTGCAATGAGTGAGTGAGTTTAGTTTTACGCCGCTTTTAGCAATATTCCAGCAATATCACGGCAGGGGAACACCAGAAATGGGCTTCACACATTGTGCCCTTGTGGGAAATCGAACCCGGCTCTTCGGCGTGATGAGCGAACGCTTTAACCACTAGGCTACCCCACCGCCCCCGAGCTTGCAATGACCATGACCTGATACAGCTATAACAATGAGATGATTGTGTTGAGAGGTATATTGGACAATAGAGATTACTGTCTGATATAATGCACTGTTGTCTGTAGTATGTTACAAATAGGTTGTGCCACTTGCTGTCAAGGTCACTATACATCACAGAAGTCACGTGTGGCTCGCAGATAAAATACATTGTCTATAAGTAGCATGTCACAAATAGGTCATACGACTTGCAGCCAAGGTCACTCTACATCACAGAAGTCACGTATGGCTCTAAGTTACACGAAAAGTTATGTTTAGGCCAGACCAATTTTCTTTCTTGTTGTTTAGGGAAAAAAATAAAAAATAAAAATCACCCGTCAAAGTAATATTCCTTTTGCATACTAAAACTATTTTATTTTCTGGCAAGTTATGAAGTGTATATGAAGCAAAAAACAATCAAACATTTTTTTGTTGTAAGTTTACAAGATTTGCCAATAAAAACATGATGATTTATTTTTAGAGTGGGGAAAATTACTATTTCATTTTTTTTTGTTATTCTTGAAAAAATAAGACCAGCGGATCCGTAAAACAAGAAATAAAATAGGTCTGGCCTTATAAAAAGTAACACCAAATTTGAGACAGACTACTGTTGCCTCGAAGTTTCGGCATATTCACAAAACATATAGGACACATTTTTATCATTAGAGACATTATCACTGTTGTTGTTGGCCATACAGAAGTTACACAAATAGTCTGCTGCATGAATATAATCATGTAGACTTTTAAAGTCAGGCAGGACAATTCTTCAGGACTTACAGATTTTTGGCCAATCAAAATTCAGGTCTCTAGGTCAGAAATAAAATGAAAAAAACCAAAGAATGTAAAATGTTACATTGGGTTTTTATCATAAAAAAGTGAAAAAGGTAGAGGCCAAAATAGCAGGGTCCAAAGTTAATGAAAGTACTGGGAGCAACGGTACATGAGTTGGGTTCAAAATGAGATAACTCCATGAGACTTCAAGGTATTTTACATTCATCAACCGTGACCAAGGCGGTTTCATACCCCCAGCTCAGTTCATCGAGTGAGTGAGTTTAGTTTATGCCGCACTAATTGATAGTTGATGGGTGTGAAACTAGCATTGCTCCAAGGCTGTACTGAACGGTTAGCCCATGGATGTATAAAGTAATTCTATCCTTTAAAGACTGACTGAGTTTGGTTTTACGCCGCTTTTAGCAATATTCCAGCAACATCACGGCGTGGTACACCGGATATGGGCTTCACACATTGTACCCATGTGGGGATTCGAACCCGGGTCTTCGGCGTGACAAGCCAACGCTTTAACCACTAGG